TTACTGTAGATGGGAATTTGGAAATTGAACTTTTTGTCATAAACTGAACTCTTGTTTTCTTTTCCCTAGGTGCAGTGCAGAAGGTCCCTAAAAAATTGGAAATGCACGTTTACAGCAAGAGGCTGGAGATCATGCTGCAGTGAGTCCTGCGCTTGGTGTGCGCCTGCGCGGCAGGCGGGCGGCTCCGCGGGCTCAGCCCCAAGGGGTCGGTGCTCTGCTGCAGGGCCTGGTGTGCACCTGGGCGGCAGGCGGTGGGCACAGCGGGCTCCGCCCCAAGGGGTCGGTGCTCTGCTGCAGGGCCTGGTGTGTGCCTGGGCGGCAGGCGGACGGCTCCGCGGGCTCCGCCCCAAGGGGTCAGTGGGCTCTGCCTCTGCAGGGCCTAGTGTGCGCCTGGGCGGCAGGCGGGCGGACTCAGTGGGCTCAGCCCCAAGGGGTTGGTGGGCTCTGCTGCTGCATTGAGTCCTGCGCTTGGTGTGCACCTGGGCGGCTCCGCGGGCTCCGCCCCAAGGGGTCGGTGCTCAGCTGCAGGGCCTGGTGTCTGCCTTGGGCAGCGGGCGCAGCAGGCTCATCCTCCATGGGGCCTGGTATGCGCCTGGGTGGTGGGCACAGCGGGCTCAGTGGGCTCAGCTGCCGAGGGGCCTGGAGTCTGGCTTGGGGCTGGTGGGCTCCGCTGCTTCAGGGCCTGGTTTTCCTGCCGGGCAGGGAACAGTCTGATTTGCTCCCTCTCAGTTCTGTGCTCCAGCTAGTTCCAAGTGTGTGGCCTGTGTGGTCAGTCATTTGCGGCCAACCTGTAGAGCACTCGGGATGCCCTTGAGACCCTGGGCCTCTGCCATGTAGGAGACCCAGAGGGGGTGCCTGGGTCCTGCCTTCAGCCTGACCAGTTCCCCGGGTTGTGAGGTCATTTGGAGAGGGAACCAGCAGGTGGTCACTCTTCAGATAACAAGTAGAAAGAGCAGTGTCATCAAGGCGCAGCGGTCAGAGCTAGCCAGGTGCCATGCACATTTTAGCATGGCTTCACATATTTCTGCAGCTGTGACTTCATGAAGAACAGCTTCCAGTCAGGCCGTCCTCAGGCAGGAATTCTGCAGCGGGGACTCCTCTGAGTGCATCACACCAAGAAAGGAGTTTTTGCAGTTTCAGCACCTCAGCACAATGCCTTACGTAGTCCGTCCAGTACTGATGAGTAAGATGACTGCGGAAAGGGAGGCGCCATGAGAGAATAAAATGTTCTGCATGTTCGGAAGGTTTTAATGTTGGCCTCTCTGCCTTCCCTTCCTCTACTCCAAATTTCACACTGTTTAAATTTATTCGCCTACTTAATTGATTCGAAAATCAAATGACAGAGCTTCCATCTGCTGCAGGGATGCTGATGCCTGCTGCAGGGCCCCGCTGGCTCCCCCCGTCCTCAGAGAACCCGGCTCAGGCTTTGGCATCTACATGCTACCATGGAGATCACGTAGCCCTTTGGTGGGCTAGGGAAGCCATGGACATGTCCCTGGCAGGGAGCAGGAGACACACATACACACACATGTATTTAGACACACATGTATACATACATGTATACACATGAAGAGGCACACAGCTTGACCTGTGTTCAAAGGTTGAGACAGGCACCCTCCGCCCACCTCGCCCCAGCAAACAGCCATGCCGCTCTCCCGTGCCTGCCCAGGGTGGGACGGGCAATTCTGCTGGTAGCAGTTCAGTCCTGAGGATCCCAGAGACGGCACGCCCGTGGCTTCTGGTGGCACCGCTCTCGCACCACAACCAGAGGTATTGGGCTAAGGGCAGTGTTGCTGGGGCCTGTCCCTTTTTTTTTTTTTTTTAAGGTTTTTATTTTTATTATAAAGTCAGATATACAAAGAAGAGGAGAGAGAGAGAGGAAGATCTTCCCTCTGATGATTCACTCCCCAAGTGACCACAACTGCCGGAGCCATGCTGATCCGGAGCCAGGAGCCAGGAACTTCTCCAGGTCTCCCACATGGGTGCGGGATCCCAAAGCATTAGGCCGGCCTTGACTGCTTTTCCAGGCCACAAGCAGGGAGCTGGATGGAAGTGGAGCTGCTGGGATTAGAACTGGTGCCCATATGGGATCCCGGCAGGTTCAATGAAAGAACTTTAGCTGCTAGGCCACGCCGCCAGCCTGGGCCCGTCCCTTTAAGCCCAGCAGGGGTGACCCTCAAGTGGTGTCCAGATCTCGGCATCACTTCCTGGCCTCCTCTGCCCACCTCCCACCAGCACATGGCAACCCTTCAGTTGGCAGGGAAGGGCCGCAGGGCAGAGCAGCACCTGTGTCACCACCATGAATGCAAGGCTGCCATGCGTGAGCTTGCGAGTCAGCAGCCTGAGCAGTGTGGCTCACGTCCATGCTTGTCTAAGGTCATGGGGTCATGGGAATGCTTAATCAGTGCCGACTGGCTTGTAAGAACCAACGGTTACATGAAACAAAACCTTTTTCCTGCCCTTTTGTTTTTATCTCTGGATTTAAGATATTTTTACTTAGTACTAGGAAAACCAGCTAAGTTGATTTGAACATTTTCTTTTTCACTTTCTTTGAAGAGAGACTCACAGATTGTCCATGTGCCGGCCAGTTCCTCCCATGAGCAGGACAGCCGGGCTGGGCCAGGCTGAAGGCAGGAGGCCAGGTCTCCCCGGCTGAGTGGCAGGGCCCAAGGCCATGAGCCGTTTTCTCCTGCCCCAAGGCTCACTAAGCAGGAAGCTGAATCGGAAGCAGAGTTGTCAGAACTCGAACCCAGGCCCTCGGATCAGGAATGCTGGTATTCCAGGAAGTGTGCGAACCGCTGTGCCAGGCTGCACCCTGGAGTACAGGAACTGCCTCAAACAGCGAGCTGTTGCCTTCCCGCGCTCTGTTCTGACACAGTGTGGTCAGTACTTGACTGCCCACGGCTTGGCAGTGTCTCCAGGGGTGACTGAGTCCCTGGCTCCCTGTGCTTATCTGCAGCCAGCCTGCAGTGGGACTGTCGCCTGACTGTCGCTCTACAACTGAGAGTGGAACCCCTGCTCCTCAGCGACCTAGACAGTCAGTCATTTCTGTTCCCCGCAGCAGGCATAGCACAAAGATGCCTGGCCAGTACTGACGTGACGAGGGGTGTGGCACAGCGGGTTAAGCCGCCAGCCTCCACTCCACTTTGGATCTGGGTTCCTGCCTCCCCTTGGGAGACCTGGATGGACCTCTGGGCAGCTCAGCACCTGCTGCTGCAGGGAAAAAGCCAGCGTCTGGGGCTCCCTTCTCTCACTCTTTTCAAATAAATAAACCTTAAAAAAAACAAGGAGATGGATTTGCTCCAGGAGACATTGGAAAATGAGTGGAAGCACCAGTTCCATCTGGAAATCTGGATTTGAACACCAGGAGGCACGGGGCTTGAAGAATGTCTCTTAGCTCTTCTGTCTGGCGTTCAGCTCGTGGGTAAAGGGATCCTCAGCACGGTGGCCGGCTGGGCGCATGCTTGCAAGGTGTGTCAGGTGCCCGGCACAGCACCTGCTCAGGGAAACTTGCTTTTTTTGATTCATTGATTTTTATTTGAAACCGTTACAGAGAGGAGAGACAGAGGCACAGATGTTCCATCCACTGGTTCACTCCCTGAACTGTAGCTGGAGTGGGGTGGCCTGAAGGCAGAAGCCATGAGCCTCATCTGGGTCTCCACAAGGGTGCAGGGTTCCAAGGACTTTGGCCATCCTCCGCCGCTTTCCCAGGCACAAGCACAGAGCTGGCTCAGAAGTGGAGCAGCCAGGATTTGAACTGGTGCCCATATGGAAGGCTGGTGCCACAGGCAGAGGCTTAGCGTGCTGCACTGTTGCACCAGCTTCTGAATGAAGCATTTGTAACTGAGTACTTTAAATATAACCGTGTACCTATAGAGTGCCTGTTTTATGAGTAGTTTAGGTCAGGTAAGGAGTGTCTCTGGGAAGGTCTGTGCTCTGTTTTAGAACGGGAACTTCAGTTTTACTGTTGCCACAACTCTGTCAAGCCCGTCTGTCCCATTACTGCTGCTCCTTTGTCTATGTTAAAGGGACATCTTTGGAGAAGAATGCGTGAGTGTCAAAGACGGCTCTGTGCTCAGCGTCACCGTGGACGGGAAGACGGCCAACATCCACTTGGAGACGCGGGTAGGTGGCGGGAGGGCGGCGGGCTGCGCCCCCGCTGCCGCCCCCGGTGACCCAGGCCTCTGCTTGCAGACGGTGGAGTGCGAGGAAGGCAGCGAGGACGACGAGTCGCTGCGGGAGATGGTGGAGCTGGCGGCCCAGCGGCTGTACGAGGCGCTCACGCCGGCGCACTGACCCCGACCGCGTGTCCGTCCGCAATAAACGCCTGCTTCTCTGGGACACCGGCTCGCCTGCCTTCCTTCAGCGCCGCCGCCCCGTGGCCTTTCCGGGCGCCGATCTGCTGCCGCCAGCCCCGTGCGCGGCCGGCTGCCCTGGCGGGGACATGGCGAGGGTCCACGGCGGCCACGGGCGGGGACATGGCAGGGACGTGGCGGGGGTCCACGGCGGCCACGGGCGGGGACATGGCCGACCTCACTGCGGGGACATGGCGGGGGTCCACGGCGGCCACGGGCGGGAACATGGCGGGGCCCACGTCGCAGGCCACGGGCGGGGACGTGGCCGACCTCACTGCGGGGACATGGCGGGGCCCACGTCAGCCACGGGCGGGGACATGGCAGGGACGTGGCGGGGGTCCACGGCGGCCACGGGCGGGGACATGGCTGGCCCGTCGAAGGCCACAGGCGGGGACATAGCGGGGGTCCACATCGCAGGACATGGCGGGGCCCACGTCGGCCACGGGCGGGGACATGACAGGGGTCCACAGCGAGGACATGGCGGGCCCGTCGCAGGCCACGGGCGGGCCGGCCAGCAGGAGGACCCACGCAGCCTGGGTCCGTGCGAGGCGCGGGTCGTCCTGGCCCCACGTGCCGCGGGAGGCCGCACGTGACCCGCCGGCCCGTCACGTGACCGAGCCCCGCCCCCGGAAGTCCGGCCGGGACCATGGCGCTCCGGGAAGCGGCGGCCTCGGGGAGCTCGCTGCTGTGGCCGCGCCTGGTGCTCTTCGGGGACTCCATCACGCAGGTGCCCGGGGCGCGGCGGGGCGGCCGGGGTCCCGGGGGAGGCAGCGCCGGCCGCCCCGCGCGCTCCAGCCCCGCGCCTTCCTCCGCAGTTTTCTTTCCAGCCGGGCGGATGGGGAGCGGCGCTGGCTGACCGGCTGGCCAGGTGAGACAAGTTTCCAGATGGACGCTTGAAAATGTTTCGGGCTGGAGGTTGTCCGGGAAGCAGCTTTGCCGCAGAGGAAGCGGTGGGGGGAGTTGGGGCGCAGCCGCGGGACCAGGGAGGCCTTGAGGGAGGGACGGGCCGCGCGGCCCCGAGCTGGCCTTCCCCCGCGGCCCCGGGCGCTGCGCGGCCTCCCTGCCCGTGTGCACCGGGGCCTCCCACCTGTGAGGTGTCGGGGACGCCGAGGCCAGTGGCATGAACCCACCACGCAGGTGGCCGCATCAGCTTGGTGCGGTGTTCCTGGGCCCCCGGCTTGGGCTGAGCTGCCAGGGTGCCGGCTCTGGAGTTTTCCTTGCTTTCTCCACAGTTAGAGAGTTGGGACTTGGAATTCAGTGTACAGCTGGTGATATCAAGCTTTAGGCTTTAAACAAGACCTTACTATTCTCAACTACGAAAAGCACTTTAGCAAATGTTATTTAACGTCCATTTAAAAAAATGATTTATTTGAAAGAGTGGCAGAGGAAGAGCCAGGTCTCCCGGCGCCCTCCCCCGGCGGCCGCAGTAGCGGGGGAATGGCCGCGGTCTCCCCGGGCACGGCAGGGCCCAGGCCTCTGCTGCAGGGGCTGGGCTGCCCGTGGCTTCCTCCCCGCCGCCCAGCGCCGGCTGCCTCCCTGCCACCTCATCCAGGAGGCCTGTGGTCCTCTGCTTTTCATTGTATTTCTTGGGGCCCCTTACTGGCTGCCCGAACTTGATTTTCCTCTAACTGCTGGTCAGGGGCAGGAGGGCTGCACTGCTGGCCGTCCCCAGGGGGCCTGGCAGCGGGGCCTGGCAGCGGTCCCCAGGGGACCTGGCAGCGGCCGCCACCCTCTGCTGAGCGCCCCCGGACAGTGTCAGCTGTTTTCCATCAGAACGCTCAGATTCTGATTTGGAAGTGTGGTTCCCGTTTTTCCTTTCACACACTAACGGCCGAGCAGTGGAGAGGGGCTCCCATCCCCCACTGTCCCCGGCACCCACATCAGGAGCTGGCCAGGCAGAGCCGGGACCCCACTCTCGGTGTCCCACGCGGATCTCAACACTCCAGCCATCCCCTGCAGCCTTGCAGGATCCACGGACTGGCAGCTGCTGTAGCTGTCACCTACCCTGGGCACCATGGCATGGAACAGGCCCGGGACAGCTTGCCACAGTGCTCCTGGAGTTTTGAACTGCCTTACGTCTTTCACAGTATAGCTGTCAACAGGCGCCCCCTCTGCTGCCTGGCATGCTGCCCTGGCAGTTATTTCCTGGTGCCCAGCTTCTCAGCTTAGCTGCTTAGTGGAGGGATGTGAGGGCCAGTGCGGGGGGTGGAGCGCCCCCCCGTCGCACCAGCACCCATGGGCATCTGCTCACGTCCCGGCCACTCCACGTCCAGTCCAGCTCACGGTCATGCCCCTGAGAAGGCCCAGGGGTGTGGGGGCCTGGCCACTTGAGGAGTGAACCAACGCATGGAACCTCTCTTATTCTGCCTTTCAAATGAGTAATCATAAGCTGAAACCCAGATTTTTTTTTTTAATTAAAAAGGCAATTATAGCTATTAGCTTTCTACAAACAACAGTCTAGTGACCTCTTCCCCCCCCCATTGCCCTGAAGTAAAGGCCAGGTCCTGGCCTTGGGCCTCTCCCGAGGCTGGCCTGCAGGGGGCGCCACTGCACCGGGCCTAAGTCCTCTTTGCGGCGACACCTGTGGGCAGTTACTCAGGCCACACGCCTGGTCTTCCTGCCCACATACAGCCCTGTGTGTCTGCCTTTTAAAGAAGAGTTGGAAACTGCCTGGTGACAGGCTGGGCTAAGCGGAAAGGGGTCTTTCCTCAGATCACAGAAGTGAAAATCTGAGGAGTTCTCTGCCCTGCAGCCCTGCCGAGCCGTTGTTGGGTCTCAGGCCCGAGAAGGGTCACGTTGCCGGCCCCACGTACAGATTGTGTCTGTGCAGTGAGGGACCAGGTGGGAGCAAGGGGCAGACCGGCATGCCTGGGGGAGGGTCTGGTTATTCCGGAGGAGCCAGGGCTGTGCCAGCACGCAGTCCTGGGGACCTCGGCACCCAGACACCCTGCCAGGAGCTGACTGCTGAGAGCTGCCGCAGGCCTCGGCCAGTACTCATCTGTGAACACTTTCTCATTGCAGGAAATGTGATGTCCTGAACCGTGGATTTTCAGGTTACAATACCAGATGGGCCAGAATTATCCTTCCAAGATTACTCAGGAAGGAGAGCGGTTTCGACAGCCCAGTAGCAGTTACAATTTTCTTTGGTGCCAATGACAGTGCCCTGAAAGGTGACGTCATTTCCGTTTTCTTGGCTCGGTTGGCTGTTTGGTACAAACTCCTTTCCTGTCACATGCTTCAGCTCTTTATCTCCCAGTAGTAAGAGGCCGCCACCCTTACGAGTTTTGTGTTTCTTTAAAATAGTGGCTTTTACTCCCAATCCAGGTGTGCCCACGTCGGATATAAAGGCCTACAACTGAAGGCACTTGTGGAGTTTTCTAGAACATGCTGGGGCCATTTCTGAGGTTCAACAGCCACAGTGGGCAGCAGAGGCGCCTCTGAGAGTACAGGCCGCGGCACTGCTGAGCTCACCTGGGTTGGGTTGCGTCCCGGAGCTGCAGTACTGGCATGTCCCTACCGCCTTCTGGACACGTGCTGCTGGCCCTGGGCTCACGGCCACGTGCCAGCATCTTCCTCCTCTTGCCCGCCCGCTGAGCGGTCCAGGGCGAGGCAGCAGCCCTTCGGTAGGGCGAGCGGTCAGCCTCGGGCCTGCCGTGTGCAGGAGAAAGACGACACGTGCCACCATCACAGCAGACAGAAAGCTCCGCAGGGAATTTCTGTCCAATTTGGGACCAGGAAAATCCCTCCAAAGTTTTAAAAACTGTGAAGGAAGTTGGCAAGGAAGGATCCCAAAAAGGTGTACAAAAGAAACGGGAAGCGTCTGGAGCGTGAGGCAGCTTAGCAAGGATCGTGTAACCTGGAAATCCATCAGAGAAATGGGCAGAAAGTGCTTGTTCACACAGAGAACATTAACAGCCCACTCGTATCTGGAAATGTGTGAAAAACCAAAACAAGGACTTCAGCAGAACAGTTTGAGACAGACCCGGAGCAGAGCGGGACGGGAAGCATTGCTGGGGGCAGCTGGGGCTAGGCGGCCTGCCACACCGCGGGCTTGGGGGCACAGGGCTGTGATGCTGGTCCCCCTCCTGCGCACAGAAGTGCTCAAGTGTCAGGTAGGGAAAAACAACCTGAGCTGTTGACAGGGACAGCAAGAGTCCCAGGTGCCGGCCACGGCTGTCCGCGTGGCAGGAGCTCTCGGCCTGCCCACAGAGAGCATGGCCCACGGAGACGCCTTGCAGGGTCAGCACCCTGACCCCATGTGGGCACCAGTTTGTTCCTTGAAGGATGGCCACCTGCCTCTGGCACTGTCACAACGGCATGAGGAGGCTTTTCATTTGGTTTCTCTCGTTCTCCAGGGGGAACGGGGGTTCAGAAAGCTCAGGTGCCCGTGTTGGGTCCTGTGAGGGCTTGATGGCGAAGCCACGGTTGGCACTGGGGCTGGCGCAGTGGGTGGAAGTCTCTCTCTCCCTGCCTCTCCCATCTCCAACCTCGTGCACCCGAGTGGGGGAGGAGAAAGTGCCAGCCACCCAGCACAGGCTGTGGACGGGTGTCTCGGGCACCCATGTTCTGAGGCCTGGCATGGGGCATTGAGCACCATGGGGGGAGCACGTGGCACTCAGCAGGCACGCATGGGGTGAGGTGTCTCTGTTCTCACTTTGAGCAGAAGAGAACATCAAGCAACATGTGCCCCTAGACGAGTTCGGGGCGAACCTGGAGAGCATGGTGCAGTACCTGCAGTCCGTGGGCGTCCCCGCAGAGCGGGTCGTGCTCATCACGCCGCCCCCACTCTGGGAAGCAGCCTGGGAAAGGGAGTGCCTCGCCAAAGGTAAGCAGTGTCTGGCCACGCAGGTCCCCACCAGGATGCTCGTGTTGGTGGAGGGGGCGTCTAGGGACCCGTCATACAATGTCAGTCATGGCAGACACGAGCCTGGGGGCCACAGGTGGGGTCCCCCACCCCCTGGCCCTCCGTTTCTGAGCCAGCTGCTGGCTCAGGGCATCCTTGCCTGGGTGGTGGACCCTTGCCACCCTGGGAGAGACCCATTGAAATTCCGGGTGCCTGGCTTCCGCTGTTGGGGAGCAACCAGTGGGGAGGGAGAGAATCAGCAGGTGGAAGATTGTCTCTCCCTGCCTTTCAAGTGGCTGAAAAATTTAAAAAGGGAGTGAGTTCTGAGTAAGCTTTTGTGGTTGCCACGTCTGCCCACAGAGTGCCAGGCAGAGCAGCAGGTGGCATCTGGGCATGACCCTGTGAGTGGCAGGTGCACGTTTGGGGTGCTAGCTGATGTTCTGCCGTGGAAGGCACGGCTTCCTTCACCTGTTCCCACTCGGTGGGCGTTCCCTTCTCTGCCTGGTCTGACGTGGAGAGAATGCCCTCTTGTGTTCATGCTGACACTTAACAGGGACATCTTGGAGCGGTCCTGCTTGCCTCAAATACAAGAACAGGCCATCCTAAGCCTGCTTTATTTTATTTTTAAAGATTCATTCATTTTTATTTGAAAGATTTACAGAGACAAGGAGAGACAAAGATTTTCCATCCACAGGTTCTCTCCACAGTGGCTGCAATGGCTAGAGCTGAGCCAATCCGAAGCCAGGAGCAGCTTCTATGTCTCCCACCTGGGTGTAGGGTCCCAAGCCTTTGGGCCATCCTCTGCATTGTCCCAGGCCACAGGCAGGGAGCTGAATGGAAAATGGAGTAGCTGGGACTTGAACCAGAGCCCATAAGGGATGTCATGGTGGAGGTTTAGCATGCTGTGACACCACGCTGGCCCCAATCTGGGTGAAGTTGATAAACAAGAAGTGATTTGTCCCGTGGATGAACTGGAACCATGGAAGAATTTCTCCCTCAGACATGCAGGTTGGGCTGGCACGGGTCCTTCTTTGTTCCCACATCTGTTTGTTTTTTAAAGTTTTATTTATTACTTGAACTTCGGAGAGATCCTCCATCTCTTTGCTCACTTCCCATATGACTGCGATGGCCGAAGCTGAGCCATTCAGAAGCCAGGAGCCAGGAACTTCCTCCAGGTCTCCCACGTGGGTGCAGGGTCCCAAGGCTGTGGGCCGTCCCCTGCTGCTTTCCCAGGTCACAAACAGGGAGCTGGATGGGAAGCAGAGCAGCTGGGACTCAAACCACCAGCCATGTGATGCTGACACCACACGCAGAGGCTTAGACTACTACACCACAGTGCTGGCATTGCTTCTAATAGCACTTCCCGATTTTGCAGAGGGAGACAGGAGAGAAGTCCTCATCCACTGGTTTATTCCCCAAATGGCTACAGTGTCTGGGGTTGAGCTGATCTGAAGGCAGGAGCCTCCCAGGCAAGTGCAGTGTCCCAAGGATTGGGCCATCCTCTGCTGCTTTTCCAGGCCATAACATGGAGCTGCATAGGCAGTGGAGCAGCTGAGATTGGAACCACTGCCCATAAGGGATGCTGGCACTTACAGGCAAAGGATTAGCCTGTTGAGCCATTGTGCTAGCCCCGATACATTCAGTAGAACCTGCAATGGCGACCAGAGTTTGATTCTGTCAATTGCTGCATGAATTCCTTCTCTTCAACAGGCTGCAGGTTAAACCGCCGGAACTCAGTTGTTGGTGAATACGCCAGCGCATGTGTGCGCGTGGCTCAGGACTGTGGCACTGACGTCCTTAACCTGTGGGCGCTGATGCAAAAGGACGGCCAGGTGAGTGCCTTGCTCTGTCCTGTTGGGAGCGGGAGTCGGGCACACCCACGTCAGGGCCTCCACCTGCAGCACCCTGACCCTGTGTGGGCACTAGCTTGTTTCCCAGCTCCTCTGCTGGTCCAGCTCCCTGCAAGGGGCTGAGTTGTGGTCACTTGCAGAGTGAACCACCCGATGGAAGGTCATCTGTCTTGTGTTTCTGCCTTTCAAACAAACTTAACACACACACCTCCACCAAAAACAGCCAGCCAGCCAGGAAGGCTGCAGCAGTGGGCTGTGTGTGGCCTGGCCCATGAGCGTTCAGATTTAATGGCATGTATATCATGGGTGTTTTTTCAGTGTATGGTGTGGGGGAAAATTCCAACAAGAAATTTAAAGAAAATACTGTCAGCTAACACAGTTGAGACTAAGAGTTCTAATAGTTTTGTTTCAAAGCCTGGAAGCTGATTCCTGTGGATCAGCCAGCCCCTCATAAAGGCAGATTTACAGAAGAGAAAGATCTTCCATCCCCTGGTTCACTTCCCAAGTGGCTGCAACAGCCAGAGCTGAGCCAATCCGAAACCATGAGCCTGGAGCTGCTTCTGGGTCTCCCAGGTGGGTGCAGGGTCCCAGGGCTTTGGCCCATCATCGACTGCTTTCCCAGGCCACAAGCAGGGAGCTGGATGGGAAGTGGAGCAGCCGGGACATGAACACCCGGAAGAGAGCCCAGCATCTCAAGGGGGAGATTAGTCGGTTGAGCCATTGCATGGGGCTCTAATCTCAGCGGCTAACTCCTTGCCTTGTGTGCATCAGGATCTCATACGGGCACCGGTTCGTATCCTGGCTGCTCCGCTTCCCTTCCAGCTCCCGCCTGGGAAAGCAGCAGAGGACAGCCCAAGGCCTTGGGACTCTGCCCCCATGTGGGAGACCCAAAGGATGCTCTCTCTTCAGACAGCTTTGCTGTTGCACCCACTTGGGCAGTGAGCCAGCAGACAATAGATCTGTCTCCTCTTCACTGTAAAATCTGACTTTCCAATAAAAAAAATCATATATAATCTGTACGTTTATTTGAAAGGCATAGTTACAGAGGGAGGTAGAGACTGGTTCACACACTAGATAGCCAAAATGGCCAGAGCCAGTGTGAAGCCAAAGCATGTTCAATTTTCCCACAAGGGTACAGGGCCCTGGTACTTTAGCCCCCTGAGCTCACCCAGGCAGCTTAGCACGGAGCTGGCAGCACGGATTCCCTGCTAACACGTGTGGCCTTTACCCCGTGAGCTGCAGCACTAGCCCCTGGTCCTTTCTTTGGGGAGGATACTTTTAAAGCTTGTGGAAATGTTTGTTTAGGTGCAAAGTGAAATCTATACATTGTGAGGCTCCAAAAATTTCATGGAAAACCCATACTGTACAGTCCGCGAGGAAGGCTCACAGTCCCCAGCTGACCTGTCTTGGCTGTTCCGGTTCTTAAGCCACACCACTCCATCCATCATCAGTCCGGTGTGGTTTATGCAGACCTGACCCAGGTGGACACTCAGAGGGGCCATCTGTGTAGATCCTAGCTTTGGGGCCAGTTCTGCCACCAGCTCTGCGTGAGTAAGCCGGAGCTGCAGTCTACAACTTCTAGAACCTCAGGTAGTGACGAGGGCAGCTTGCTTGCTTGTGCTGTGGCAGATCTCTAGCCAGAGTTCAGCACCCTGTCAGGATGGCACCTGGACTGGGTTAGGCAAATCAGGCTGGGTTTGCTTCCAAGATCCTAGAGTTCCGAAAATTTTCCTTAGGCATCAATTCTGTCTAGATGAGCAAACCCAGGGCAGGGGACAGGGTCCAGTTGGAATCGTTCTCTGGTCTGCACCGGTCCCGAGTGTGCTGGCCAGCCGTCACCCAGAAGCTCAGCTCGGGGAACCACTTCCCCAGGAGAGGGGTGGTGTGGCGGTGTGTCCTGGAGTTCAGGGCTGAACAATGCCAAGGTCTCGTGCCTGAGTCAAACGCTGTGCTCAGCTCTTTAATACAAAATTTCATTTTTGTGAATGGACCATAATCCCTTGAGAGGGCCCTGGGGAGCGCGGCGGGGCGCTGTTGTCCAAGCCAGCTCTTACCCGACACTTCACGCAGACCGTCCACACCTGACCTGTGCGCTCTCCCACGCAGGACTTCTCCGCCTACCTGTCAGACGGCCTGCATCTGTCTCCGGAGGGGAACGCCTTCGTGTTCTCCCACCTCTGGCCGCTGCTGGAGAGGAAGGTCGCCTCTCTGGACTGGCTGCTTCCGTACTGGCAGGACGTGGCTGAAGCCAAGCCAGAGCTCAGCCTGCTGGGCGCTGGCGAGCACTAGACGCTGCAGCCAGCCCAGGAAACGAGCCCAGGAGACCGCCGGCTGCCTCCGAGTGCCACGCTACGGTCACAGCCAAGGCGCTGAGTGACACGGGCATCGTGGGTGCCACAGGTACAGAACATTCCCTGAGCAGCTTGCTCGGTTTATGAATGGCCAAGACAATGTTGTTTTTTAAAAAGTAAATTTTATACAAAAAAAGTTTACATTCTGCTGAGAACGGCTTCATTCATGCGTCCACCCACACACACTCACTCTGCTGCCGCTGAAAGTTAACTAATGTAAGGATATTGTGACTGGTTAGATAGCAAATACCGTAAGGTACAAGTTCAAGTATTAGTGTAACAAGTATCTGCTGTCACACACGCGTCACAGGTTTGGTTAATTACCCTTAACACTCGTGAGCTCTCTTGGTTAACGGGTTGGCTGATGAGCACACTTTAGTTTTAATCATTTTATAGGAACCGGAATCCAGATTAATGGCTTGGAGCCTTCACACGGTAAATACAGGCCTTCCCGAGTCCCAGCGCGCTCCAGGAGTAACGCAGGTGCCCACTGGGAGGCAGGCACAAAGGAAGGGGCGTCTGGGCTGGGCCCTCCAGGCAGGCCCATGAGCCCTGAGCCTGGGCAGAAGCACCTTCTCGAAGGGCACGAAGCCCCTCACTGATGCCGACGCGCTGCTCTGGGAGACGGCGTGCTCCTCGGCCATCTTGTGGACTGTGCCACGGTGCTTGCTACATACAGCATCTGCAGATTCGACTATTTTCAGTCTAGACAGTGCCAGCCTTAATTAGGTTTATGCAAAGCCACATTAACCCAGATTATTGAGAGTTGAGCTGTCCATGCTGGCAGCATGGAAGGACCCGCACTCTGGAGGTCACGTCAAGGACTTTGGGCCTTTGTCTTGACTTGAAGGCAAAACAATAAATAACTGTTCCAGCTGCCCGCACAGGCAAACACTCGGTGGGTCACTACAGTGTCTGATCAGTGCGTCATCAACATAAAAGGTTAATTTACAAAAATGTAAATATTCAAACCTCATCCAGCTGTATTTTCTGCTTTGGTACCACAGGTCAAGGGACACTTTAAAGATCAAGAAGTTAAACCTGAAAGCCTCAAAATAAGCTAGATGTACCTTACCTCTTCAACAGGAAAAGGGCCAACCCACGCAACTGTGGTAAACAAAAAGGAAGTTCAAACACATGACCAGCATCTGCCATTAAGTCACTTCCTTCTGTCTCCCAAATCTTCACAAAATAGAGGCTATGATTGCAGGTCAATTCAATAAACATCCTCTGACAGCTCAGTCCCAGCACCCACGCTAACACTCCGTCTCCTTGCTGTCAACGCGATGCTGCCGCTGCAGCTTAAAAGAGGCGGCCTTCTCGCTCCTGGTCACTGGGTGGTCTGTGAGGTCCTCAAAGGACTTGGCAGCTGCGCTGCTGTTGGGAAAGGGGTCCTTCTCGAAGCCGTCCTCCTCCACATGTGAGTCTGTGCTGGGGTCTTCCTGGATGGTGGCCATTCTCTGGTGGTCGAGCTTGGGCGCCACAGGCACGGGCGGCATCGCGGGGATGGGCTGTAGCTGGCCTGGTGTGGGGAGCGCGGGAAAGGGCTTGATGACGCGCACCGAGGCCGAGTCCATGCTGCTCAACATTTCCACATTCTGGAAAGACAGGAGGGGCACTGAGGAGGAGCAAGGGCGCAGCACCCCGACTCCCACTGTCGGCTCAGGGGCATGACCCCCTCCACGGGGTGGAGCCATCATTGAGCATGGCCCGGCCAAGGCAACCACAGGGAGAACTCGGAATCCAGGAACTGTCTAGCAGGCCCCCCTCCTGTTTCAGAAGTTGTCATCCACACCATGCAGTACTCACACTGGGGTGAAACAGCGACAGGGACTCGTACTGCTTATCCAGCTTCTTGTCCTAGAAAGAGCAAGAGAAGAGCTCACTCCTACACAGAATCCCAACTTGCAAGTCCTCCCGTGTCTGTGTCCGGGAGGAACTGCAGCAGGCTCCCGAGCCGCAGGGCTGAGTGCTGGCCCTGCAGGTGTCAGCCTCACAGCTGACGGCTACTTGCTGAGCTACTTCTGTTCCCCTCTCCCAGGCTGCACTGCCTCAGGGGGGCCCCACCCAGAGCCCCAGGCACTTCTTAGCCCTTTCCACAGCTCCTGTGCTGCTAACAGATCTCAATCTCATCCTTCTGATGGAGGTACCAGCCCCAGCCAGCTGTTTCCCTCACTCCTGTGTGCAGCTGGAGTCGGTGCAGCTTCTGCGTGGCCCTCCCTCCAGTCAGCAAGTCTACTCGGACAGGGCCCCGCAGCTCCCCCCACCCAGAGGAGTGAACGCCGCCCTGACAGCATCGCCCCCAGTCACCTCCTCATCTGGCACAGCCTCGGTGCTCATCCATGGGGCCCACACGCATACCCACTCCCCCACCCTGGCACTGGCCCTGCCCAAGCTGTTCACAGAGGACAAAGAGGCCAGAGGGGCAGGGGTGGAAAGGAAGAAGTGCCTTGGTCATACCAGCCAGGTGGGGCTCCCTGGCTTCAGGGGGGCACCTAACAACTTCTGGGAACACGCCAGGAGCCTGGCTCTGGTGGCCTCCTTGGGGATTTCCAAGGTCAAATTTACAAACCACCTAGGGTTCTTCAAAGGCTAATTCAACTTCCAGCTGTGAACTCAGCCTGAGTAAGAACAGGAAGCAGTGTCTGCTCTCCCTGACTGCTGGAGAACAAGAGCCTGTAAGGGCTATGGAGACGCCTGGGGTGGGTTCCCTGCGATAACCAAGCCAGTCTGAAAATGTTAAATAAAAGTTCAAAATTCAACAAGTCCATGGAAATACACATTATCTTTTTATCCCATTTTTCCATGAACTTTTGAATCCGAGAACTTGAAGTGCCCAGAGCAGTGGGATGGGTTGGGGGTTAGAACCAGGAACTCTCCACCGCTCTCCTACAGAAGCAGTAGGGACCCCCACCATTTGAGTGGTCGGTACCTCATGGGGCAAGAAACTGAATCCACAGCCAGAGTCGGGAGCCACTCGGGGCCTCGGACATAGGACATGGACGTCCTGACCCTAGGCCAGATGCCGGGCCCTCTGCAGTTTATGAAGTCCCTCACAGCCACACACACGTGACAGCTTTGTTAAGAGACCTTTTGCTGAGATTTCCACTATAGAGCTCTCCAGGGGCAGGCAGACTTTGCTAATAAGAAACCTCATCTTTTCCACAAATTACAGCTGGAGTTTTGCAGAATTCTAATGTTTAATTGGGCTGATGTGGATGGATGCTGAGGTGCAAGTTACATCACATCAGACACATCAGACACCCCCACGAGGCTTGAGTCCCATCCGCTCCCACGTGTGCTCAGCTCCCTCCTGGCTTTGGCCTGGTGCAGCCTTGGCTATGGAGGGCATTTGGAGTGTTAAACCTTCGGATGAAAGGCCTCTCTTCCCCCCTATTGCTCTTTCAAATGGATAAAAATAACTTTTTAAATGACTTGGGCCTTGTGCAATAGCTCAGTAGTGAAATGAGATCCCACACGGGCACTGGCTGCTCCATTTCCCATCCAGCTCCCTGCCTGTGGCTTGGGAAAGCAGAAGAGAATGGCCCAAAGCCTTGGGACCCTGCACCCATGTGAGACCCCCCAGAGGAAGTTCTTGGCTCAGCTCTGGCTATTGTGGCCACCTGAGGAGTGAACTAGCTGACAGAGGATTTTCCTGTATATCCTTCTCTATGTAAATCTGACTTTCAAATAAAATTAAAATTCTTTTTTAAAAAATGGTGACTTACCACACAATGGACAAGAATGCTGAAAGGAATCCAAAATATCAAGGAGAAGACCAGGACGGAGCCTACGATGTTGTCTGCTAAAAACTTCCCTGCAAGCAAGTGCAGACAGTGAGTGGGCGCACGTCCTGAGCGTGCCACACCCAACACGCAGTGCTGAGGGCCCAGGCATCCTGCACCATGCACCTGCAGCCAGTCCCCAGGACAGCACGGCGAGCAGTGTCTGCACACACACTCCTGATATGGCCACCTTGTCCCACCCAGTGCTCTTGGTGACAGGGGCACACTGCACGCTAACCACAGAGAACGCTGCTGTCAAGACCACCAAGTATTCAAGATGACATCTGATGGTTTGCAACTAAACTCCAAATGCACATCCTTGTGCGAATCCCGCGGCCCACTGTAAATAAAAGGGCTCAATTTCATTGCAGCCAACAGTTTTCAGAGTTCTGTGTTAGCCATCCCGCCTTCTCCGGGAGTGGAGCACAGACCCTGCAGACCCACTTCTCTGCTGTCCCCAGCAATCTTGGGAGGGCACGTACCGAAAGTATTGATGCTCAGCTGGTCGATGAAGTCCCAGAGTCGCTCAATTACATCCTGCACACGCTTTTCACATTTGCCCTACAGAGAGGAGGAGATGTTATCCCCAGAAGCAGTGTGCAAGGAAGTGTGTGAGTCAGACCACAGCCTGGGCTGATGTCATTGCAGGGACGGGCACTGCATGGGACACTCACACCACACCAGAGCGCAGGTGCCAGTGCTGCCAGTGCCTTCTGGAAGGCAGCAGATGGCGGCTCAACCACGTCAGCTGCAGCCACTGACGTGAAGGCCGTGACAGAGGTCCCAGCCCCTGCCTTGAGCCTGGCCTGCTTTGGCTGTCATGGTGACCTCGGAATGAACCACATATGTGCACACCATGTCCCTCTACCTTCCAAGATGTGTGTACACACAATAATGTCAGTGTAACACACCAAGGAGGACACACTGTTACAGGTCACAAGTGGGAATTCAGAATTACTTGGATGCAACATGTAAGGAAACCAGCTGTGGCGTGGGGAGGTAAACCACTCCGACAGTGGAATCCCATATGGGCGCCCGCTGGAGGTATGGCTACTCCACTTACGATCCAGCGGAGGGCTCCAGCACTGGACCCATGTACGAGACTCAGAAGTTTATTCCTGGCTTTGGCCTGGTCCATCCAGGCCATTGCAGCCAGCTGCAGAGTGAACCAGAAGATGGAAGATCTGTCTCTCCTTTATTTAATTCTCCCTTTCAAATAAATGAATCTTTAAAATGGGTCTGATTGTTGGGACCCTCGCCCATCACTCCACTTTGTGGAAAAAAAGAGCTCACTGAGTCAAGAAGAATAGCCTACAATGTCTCAGCTTTAGAATCACACCTTGCCCAATTCCCAGTTCTGTATCTGTAAAGTAACCAAGGAAAACCGTTAAGATCTACTGCTGAGGAGCTGCCACTGTGGCTTAGTGGATTAAGCCACTGTCTCCTATGCTGCCATCCTGTAAGAGTGCTGGGCCCAGTCCCAGCTAGCTCTGCTTCTGACCCAGCTCCCTGTAAAAGCACAGACAACCGAAAGGCTTGCGCCCCTGTCCCTCGTGGGAAACCAGAGCAGTGTCCCAGGCTTCTGGCTTTGGCCTGGCCCAGCCCGTCACTGCAGCCATTTGGGGAGTCAACTAGCAAGAGGAAGAAACTACTTCCTCCAACTCTGCCTTCCAAGTAAATAAATCTTTTAAACTAAAAAAAAAAGAAAGAAAAGAAAAGAAAAACACTGCTGAGACCAAGCATTCCACCACCAGGGTCGCCAGCTCCTTCCATCAGCTCAGCTGCCCCTTTGTCGCCAGAGGCGGGAGGGCGAGGGTGGTATGCAACTCTGCTGACCTGGAAGCACTTGGCCCCTCTGGCTTCAGTGACTCAAACACACCTGACCAAGCCCCGCAAAATCAAGTGGACGCCAGGTGAGAGCACACAGCGTGTCTGTGCCCGGGCCTGTGCCCGAGCGGATGCCAGGTGAGAACACATGGCATGTCTGTGCCCGAGTGGACACCAGGTGAGAGCACACGGCATGGCTGTGCCAGAACAGAACAGAGCACTTCAACCTAAAGCTGCCCGTCCACAGCACACACTCACGTTCATGTCACAGAACCCCACTGTGCAGGGCTTTCCTTTTCTCAAAAATAAGTTCTTCTGCTCAGCGTCAACGTAGGGCACGCAGCGGCCGGAAGGGTCCCTGCAGCACACCTTGCAGGAGTTGTCTGTCTCTGAAAGACACAGCACAGCATGGATGTAGGTATCAGTGCTCCCAGAGGCAACACACGGTGCCACTCACGCCCTGCACCGACCAGTGCACACCCCCCACGTGGGCGGCCTGAGTCCCTCCCTCACCAAGCCTCTCACAATGCTTTGACTATACTGCCAGCTTGACCGACACCCAACATGGTATCATGCGGTGCCAAGTGGCCCACCAGGCACAGGAATCCCGCAGCCCACACTCGGGGTGAGCTCTCTCAATAGCAGCTCCAAATGTTCCCACCGGGGGAAGAACAACAGCGGGGCACCAATGAGCCACACGGGCACACACATGGGTGACACAGGCATCAGCAGTCAAGCCCACAGCATAACCAAGGAGACCCAGGGGAAAATCTACTTCTACTCAGGGAAAAAGAAATGGAGCAGAACACAGAAAACAAGAAAGCAAAACCCTCTTCGTCATTCACGCAGCTGTTATTTCTTGGGCACTTCCTGTACCTCCCACGTGCCTTCCCAGGGCACCCAGCCATTCTCTCCCCTGGCATTTACTGCGTGCTCTCTTCCTCACCCACTCCAAGGGACAGGAGGTGAGCCCAGGCCAGCCGAGTTTCTGCAGGACTCTGTGTCCAGCGAGTCCCTGGGGCCCCTGGTCAGGCCCAGGAGCTCCAGAAATAGAGCTTGGGAAAAAAACCGCAGTCCAACAGTGCAGGTGCCAGTGAGAGAGGCTCCTCTGCCCCATCGGAGAGCTGAGGGAGCAGCCCAGCCCTGCCGGCCACAGCACAGACCCCCTTCAGTGCAAGCGGGGACCTGGTGGGCTTCTCCGCATAGCTGAGGAGCACACAGCTCCCGCCTCCCAGCTGCCCCCTCAAAGCCAACCAAGAGTTCCGGATGCTGCAAAAAAGTAACTGGACAGTTCTCACCCCGCAGCTGTGCAGCTTCCCAGCAATCCCCGCGGGCCAGCCGCAGCGGGCAGAGGCCGAGCCGGCCCTGCACTCACCGTTGCAGGCACAGGACTCAAGCTGCTGCTCCCGCTCACAGAAAGGGATGCACTTGCCATCCTTACACTTGCCCAGGTCCAAGCACACCGTGTCATCCTCGGCATTGCCTGGAGGCGGGCACTCGCTGCTGTTCCCTGGAAGCAAAGACCAACAAGTGCCTTGTTGGACAGGGAACAGAGCCACCTGTCCTGCAGGTGCACACCCATGGCCACAGTGCAACACTGCATTCCTCTTTGCTGTTGAGTGGCCCGAGCCACAGCCTCACCCAAGCAACAGCGCAGGCCCGTACCTGTGCAGTAAGACACGCCTTTGCAGGTAGCGTTAATAGCCTCCTGGCATTTCTTCTGGGGAGTTTCAAACTGGCAGTTTTTACAGCAAGGACTGTTCCGATCACTGCAAAGACAGGGAATGTTCAACAAAGACTGCACTCGCCCATAAATGCAACAGTCCCCTTAGAGCAGGAGACGCTGCTGCGGCTGCAGCCACAGCATGCCCACCGACTGCCCCTTCTTTATGTGCGTGAGCTAACATCAACACCACGCTTCAGCAGCACAGCTTCACAGAGGCATCATCTTGAAAGGCCTCCTCAGCTTTCATCACTACATTCATTAAAGACAGCAGGAAGCCAGGGGCCCATCAGGCCCCAGGACTGAGGACAGGCAGCCAGGGTGCTCCTGTGGAGGTCTGCACCACACACAGCTCTACCTCAGTTATTCACCAGACTGAGCTGCCCCTTTGGCCAAGCTCATCGGTCTGTGCACGCAACTGGAAATGCAGGAAATTCCTAACCTGTCACGATTCTTACACCTTTAGTTTGTCATTCACAGAATTCTGCAACACACAGTAACAAACTGACATCCCAGGACTATCATTTTGTTTGCAGTTTGTAACCACAAATGCTTGTTAATCATCACTGTGGCACATCAATTCCTTCAGAAACATCCTCTGACCCGCTGTAGACCAAGAGGAAAGCGGATATTCTTACACCATCAAAGGCAGGAGCTAAACACAAGCACACAGCACACACCCCTCTCCCGCCAAGAGCCTGCACTTCTGATCTTGCTGCCAACACCGGGGCAGCAGCCTCCGCTGCACCGCACGCCCGGGCAGCAGCCTCCCCTGCACCGCATGCCTGGGCAGCAGCCTCCCCTGCACCGCATGCCCGGGCAGCAGCCTCCCCTGCACCGCATGCCCGGGCAGCAGCCTCCCCTGCACCGCAAGCCCGGGCAGCAGCCTCACCTGCACCGCACGCCGGCCTTGAGGGTGCAGTCGCTGTTGCAGCACGTGTCGTTGTGCAGGTACATGATGCCAGGGTCACACTCTTCACCCTCGTCCACCCTCGAGTTCCCACACACCTTGTTGCTGCGCTCCTGAAAACACTCCTGGGCCTTACTTTCGATGGTCTTATAGATGGACTGTTTACTGCAGTTTGAAAACATCTTAAGAGAAAAAAGGCCCCAAGGACCAAAGTAACATAAACATTCATTCTCACTTCTTCGACAGGAACACAGGGCTGATGTACAAACGACCTGCAGCTACCCTGGAGATGTGTCAAGACCGTCATCACCTCTGATGCCTCCCCCTCGAGGCTGCAAACGGTTGGCATGTGCTTGGGTGAAGACCCAAAATTCCTCACATGAAGTCAAGTGACACAAATAAGGACACCAGGGGCCAGTGCCATAGAGTAGTGGGTTAAGCACATGCTTGCCATTCTGGCATCCCATGGTTCCAGTCCCAGCTGGCTGAGGAAGTGGTGAACAACAGCCTGAGTGCTTTGGCCTCTGAACCCATTTGGGACACTTGCAAGAACCTCTGGCTCCTGGCTTTGTACCACTTTAACTGGAGCCAGTGCAGCCATGTGGGGAAGAGAACCAGATGAAAGATGTCTCTAATCCTTTCCAATTAAAAAAAATTTAAGGCCTGGCACCGTGGCCTTGCAGCTAAAGTCCTTACCTTGAACACACCAGAATCCCATATGGGCGCCGGTTCTAATCCCGGCAGCTCCATTTCCCATCCAGCAGCCTGCTTGTGGGGTGAGGAAGCAGTCGACAATGGCCCAAAGCCTTGGGAGCCTGCACCCATGTAGGAGACCTGGAGGAAGCTCCTGGCTCCTGGCTTTGGACTGGCTTAGCACCAGCCGTTGCGCTCACTTGGGGAGTGAATCATTGGATGGAAGATCTTCATGTCTTTCCTCCTCTCTGTATATCTGACTTTGTAATGAAAATAAAAAATAAAATCTTAAAAAAATTTTTTTGAGTGTTTAAAACATTTTCCATCTGCTGCTTTACTTCCCAAGTAACTGCAATGGACAGAGCTGAGCTGATCCGAAGCCAGGAGCCAGGAGCTTCTTCCAGGTCTCCCACATGAGTGCAGGGTTCCAAGGTTTTGGGTCATCCTCTAATACTTTCCCAGATCAGAGGCAGGGAGTCGGATAGGAAATGGGCCACCGGGACATGAACTGGTGCCCACATGGAATCCAGTCACGTGCGAGGCACAGATGTAGCCACTGAGCAAATGCGACAGGTCCAAAAACCAAACCTTAAAAAAAACACTGAGACCAAAAGGAATCAGACCTGCTCAGTACACAGCCTGTGTGCTCCGTCAGGCCTGCTCAGTGCACAGCCTGTGCGCTCCGTCAGACCTGCTCAGTACACAGCCTGTGTGCTCCGTCAGGCCTGCTCAGTGCACAGCCTGTGCGCTCTGTCAGACCTGCTCAGTGCACAGCCTGTGCGCTCCGTCAGGCCTGCAGCTCCGTTACCCCAGCCCCATTTGCACAGTCAATTTAAACAGATAGCTTCGAGCCTGGTGCAGTAACCTAGCAGCTAAAGTCCTCACCTTGAATGTGCAGGGATCCCATATGGGTATCGGTTCTAATCCTGATGGTCCCACTTCCCATCCTGCTCCCTGCTTGTGGCTTGGGAGAGCCATCGCGAACTGCCCAAAGCCTTGGGACCCTGCACCGGTGTGGAAGACCCAGAAGATGCTCTGGACTCCTGCTTCGGATTGGCTCAGCTATGGCAGTTGAGGCCACTTGGGGAATGAATTAACACACAGAAGATCTTCCTCTCTGTCTCTCTTCCTCTCTATATATCTGACTTTCCAATAAAAATAAATAAATAAAAAAAGTCTGCACCAGCAATGTCGAGGTACACTTAACTAAGAGACTGATAGAATTATGATTCCTTACAAAGGACTATACCATTATAGCAAAATGGGGAAAATCTGTTGGGGGGTGGGAGCTTGGGGGGGGGGGGAAATCCCAGTCTATACAAAATTGCTGGCCTTCTTACTTATTTTTACCTTTTAAGAATTCTTTGCTGGAAATTAAGCTTCAACACTATAAACTGCCGAATGCTAAAATGAAAATAGCCACGAGACAGCTGAACAGTACCCTATAGCCATTTTAAGGTGTATGGCAGCCGGTTCTGTGTACAAACCAAAATAGAAATGTCAATGAAGTAATCAGAGGATGCGGTTAAGAACTTGCACTTTTTAACATATTTGTTACTCAATTCCATGTCAATTAATTCCATAATGTTGTAAATTGATGTTGATGTTATGTTTTGGCTTTTAATTAATCGGGATGATATTCTGCCAGCTCTGCTTTCAGACCAGAGATGGTCTCCCCAAGAAACCGTTGAACTCATCTGGACAATAGGATGTTAGACTCTATGCTTGCAATGAAAGAATCTTAACTGAACTTGAACTGTAATACTGCACCAAGGTGGAGGAATCCACCATGGGGGGAGGGCATGGGGAGGGGTTGGGGGAATCCCAGAGCCTATGAGACAGTGTCACATAATGCAATGTAATCAATAAAAAAATAATATAGCAAAAAAAAAAGAAATTCTTTGCTGGGAAGGTACAGAGTCAAGAGTTACAGGGTCAAGAGTTCATCCATCTACTGGGCAGGCCGAAGCCAAGCCTGGAAGCCCATGTGAGTTCCCCTGTGGACACAGGGGCCCAAGCACGTGCACTGGCTCTGCTGCTGGGTCAGAAGCACAGCAGCCAGGACTTGAACCATCTTACAGCAAATGCCAGCACTGCTGAGCCATGGTGCTAGGTCTCTAAATTTTTTTTCCATTATTTATTTACTTTAATTGGAAAGCCAGATATACAGAGAGAAGAGACAGAGGAAGATCTTCCATCCGAAGCAAAGCAGAAAAGCCAAACTGAAGCATGGTTTAACCCACACGCCATATCACCTCTACACCTTTCTGTTTTACAGGGGAGATGTTTGAATGAGCTGCTTACTGCAACCTGGGGCTTAGGCAGTTGGTAATTTGGTGGGCTTATTCGCAGTGTTACATATCAATGAAACTCAATTATTTCATCATTTCATTTCCTAGTGAATTAAAATGGACAATAAGCAGGGTAGGGCCAAAGCCAGGAGCTTGGTACCCTACTCAGGTCACCCACAGGGGTAGCAGGAACTGAATACTTCGGGGCATCTGCTGCCAGCCGAGATGGGGAATGGAGGAGTGGGAACGAGGACCAGCATGCAGAAAGAAGATGTGGGCACCAGGAGTGGTGCTTCAACCTGTGCCCCAACACCCACTCTTCAGCTTGGCTACTTCATCAGAAGCCCCCAGCAGTAATTCATCTCATGTATTCATTCAACAAGCATTTATTGTGTTCCAGGTATTCCTACTGAGAATACCAAAAGGTATACATAAACTGACCACATAGCTGGCACTGCAGACTTGATGAACAAGACAGAGAAGTACCACGCCCACATGAGGTCTATCGGAAAACTGTATGTGTTTTATGATAAATATTCATGAAAAGATATGCAAATAGTGAAGTACTATAGCATTAAAATGAGTAACAACTCATAAATGAATAGAACAGTTTAAAAAATGCCTGAGCAGGGCCCTGCGTGGTGGCCTAGCAGCTAAAGTCCTCGCTTTTGAATGCAATGGGATTCCACATGGATACCAGTTTTTTTTTTTTTTAAGATTTATTTATTTATTGGAAAGTCAGATATACAGAGAGGAGGAGAGACAGAGAGGAAGATCCTCCATCCAATGATTCACTCCCCAAGCGAGCGCAACGGCCGATGCTGTGCTGATCTGAAGCCAGGATTCAGGAACTTCTTCCAGGTATCCCACACAGGTGCAGGGTCCCAAGGCTTTGGGCCGTCATAGACTATTTTCCCAGCCCACAAGCAGGGAGATGAATGGGAAATGAAGCTGCCGGGATTAGAACTGGCGCCCATACGGGATCCCAGAGCGTTCAAGGTGAGGACTTTAGCCGCTAGGCCACGCCGCCGGGCCCAGGACACCAGTTTTAATCCCGGCAGCTCCACTTCCCATCTAGCTCCCTGCTTGTGGCCTGAAAAAGCAGCTGAGGAGAGCCCAAAGCCTTGGGACCCTGCACCCACATGGGAGACCAAGTGAAGTTGCTGGCTCCTGGCTTCGGATAGGCACAATGCCAACTGTTGCGGTCGCTTGGAGAATGAATCATCGAACAAAAGATCTTCTCTGCCTCTCCTTCTCTCTGTATATCTGACTTTGCAATTTAAAAAAAAAAAAAGGCCTGATCCACCAAACCCTAAAATCTAGAACTTGGACAACAGTTGTTGTTATTCCCAAGTTTCTTGGAAAACATTAGACAGGAGATGATTTAATCCAAAACACACGCAAGTTCCATGTGCAGCTCCCCCACAGCAAGACACCCAGGGACAGCTGCGGAGCACCTGCTGAGCTCTCAGCATGACCCCTGCAAGGCCCCCCGCAGGCGTACCTTATTGTTCTCGTGGTCCCCACTCACAGCAATGGGGTACATCACATATTTTCCTCCCTGATCCTCATTCGGGGCACATTCTGCTAAACCGTCAGGATCATGTTCTGCTCCAAAATTGTGTCCCAACTCATGAGTTGTAACCAGGTCAGCTTCCTGAGAGAAGATGCAAAGAAAACATTATTCCCTACCATTCGGCCAGCTACTTTGCCAGCTGGACCCACACCATCTTATTAAAGCCCTTTCTTCACTCAAATGAAAGAATAACAACTCAATTATGATGTCTTTTATTTAACAGTGTCTGTGACATTCTACTTATTTCAGGACGAGTATTCATTAACCAAAATGTCTGGGACCAGAAAAATTTGGGATTTAAAGTTTTTTTTTTTTTAATTTTTGGGATATATGCATCCTATAATGAGACATCTTGGCTTAATAAATTTAAGCACGGACTGATAGTGATTTTATGCAATGCTTTAAATAATATTTTGCATGAAGTATGATTTCATAATGCCAATTTTTTGCTTATCAGACTCAAAAGTTCTAGATTTGAGAACAATTTAGAATTCAAAATTTCAGGTTAGGAATGTATAGCCTGTATAATACAAAATATTATAAACATCAACTTAAATCAATTTTACATAACTGTATTCACAAACCATACCACAATTTTCTAAGAGAACACAGCATGGTGCTGATAAACGAAAAAGGTAAATGATGGTTTGTCAGCAAATCTGCCCACGTGTGCGTCCTGCAGCACGTGAGAGCATGCTGCTGCAGGACCAGCCAGTGCCGGGCGGGGCTTCTGGGCAGAGGGGCTGAGGGAGCCATGAGCCCAACCGCCTTCAATGAAAGCTCACAGGTCACAGGAATTTTCCTGTTTATGCTTCTCTTTATCATATTTCTTATTAAAGAGCAGGCCCCAGCCTCCTGTCTGTCTCCCTTAGCACACAGTGTCCTTGTCTGCCCTTTGGCAAGTCACTGAAGGGAGGAAAGGGTACAGCTGCCCCTAGAAGGTCCTCGCCAACACTGACTGACTCTACAGGGCAGAACGCTGACGGCCAGGCTCCCCCTGAGGACTGCAGGCAGACCCTGGGAGAACATGTAAGGACTGTGTCTGAGTGATCCCAGAACAGCAGCAGCCCACCTGCCATCGTGAATTCCCTCGAGAGCACAGCATCACAGACCAATCACAGGAAGGTCACGAGCTTAGCTGATCAACAGGAACTTGGATACGAGCTGATCCTGCACCTCTCGGCCCCACTCCCAATGCACAAGAACCTGCAACCTCATCTCCTTGGGGAGTCAGGGAATTGAGCAGTAGCTGTCCAGCTCCTTTTTCTGCACTTCGCAATAAAGACCTACTTTTTTCTACAACCCCCAAGCCAATGATGGGCTTTCTGCACATCAGGCAAGTGGACAAAGTGTGGGGGTTCTACAACAACGCCTCCATCCTGTTTGGGGAGCCGCTCAGCCACCAAAGTAAAAGTACATATTAGTTGTTGGAAGATATCTTATGTAAGCATATAATAATGAGGTTGTAAAACAATAAACACCAAAACTATTCTTTTTAAAACAAAAGAACATACCTTTGTAAGGATGGTTTTACCGTAATTTTTCGTGCTGGTCAAACCACTATTCAAATAGATATTCTTCTTCCCAACAGGACTATAGTAAGCTAAGGTATCAGGAAACAGAAGCCACTTGTTTAATGTTGATGTTAATGTAATCAGCCAGGTAAAAATCCCAGCAACGTAAACACATGAAATGAGGAGCCTTACCCTTGGGACATACACCGCCATGGCTGTTTGCTCGGGGAGAACCCACATAAGCCAGTCCTAGAGTTCCCATATCAAAATCTTGGTAAGTGAAAAGATGTGCCAGGCAGACTTTAGATGCTTCTTCAGCTATATCAAAGCTAAATTGCTTTAATTAAAAAAAAAAAAGTAATTAGGTTGAAAGGTACATAAAAGACATTTGCTTCCTCAGGGTGTAAGCTCTGGGTTGAAGCAGGGGTCCTGGCCCAAGCGAGCTGGGGATAGGGCCTGCCAGGGGCCTCTGCTGGCGGCCAGCAGCCCAGCCTTGCACGTCCTGCTGGTCCCACCCAGGTCAGGAGCACCAAGCCCAGGGCCCAGAGCTTGGGGGTAGGTGCTGCTCTCAGCACACACTGCAAGCAAGACCAGCTTCTTGGCTGATTCACAAAGGCAAGTCTGACAACCCCTGAGCCAGCTGAACACCTATCAGGCCTATCAGGCTGCTGCACCAGAACCAGACAGGTTATCTCCTATCTCGTCTTCTGGACCACTGGAAGCTCCACAGTGAGTTCTAACATAGGAGATGGCATGCCACTTGAACATAACTGGGCCCAGCATGGTAGCCTAGTGGTTGAAGTCTTTGCATTGCATCCCTCGGGATCCCATGTGAGCGCCAGTTTGTATCCCAGCTGCTCCATTTCCCTTCCACTCCCTGCCTGTAGCCTGGGAAAGCAGTCGAGGACGGGCCAAAGCTTTGGGACCCTACACCCATGTAGGTGACCTGGAAGAGTATCCTGCCTTCAGATCAGCTCAACTCTGGCCACTGCAGCCACTTGGGGAGTGAGCCAGCAGACAGATCTTTCTCTCTGACTTTCCAATAAAAATAAATAAATCTTAAAAAAAAAAAAAAGATGCCTTCTCTAGACACTGAAGAGTAGCATTGGGACTGGCCGCTATCACACAGCAGGGCACTCCCAGGCAGGCGTACAGGAGAGAAGCCAAGGCCACCATCTGACAGGAGGCACAGCAAGGCAGCATGTGGAGGCTCGGCCAGATACTCGGTCCCCGTGCCGCTCCCGCCAGGCCTCCCTGGGGTTACACAGCTCCACGCTGGGAACGCTTCCATTCCACAAGGCTGGCACAGCACCCAGGCCGAAACACAGGGCAGTCGGTCTCATAGACAATTTTATTATTTTTTTATTATTTTTTAAAAATCTATTTCTTTTTATTGCAAGGTCAGACATATATAGAGAGGAGGAGAGACAGAGAGAAATATCTTCCATCCGATGATTCACTCCCCAAGTGAGCGCAACTGCCGGTGCTGCGCCAATCCGAAGCCAGGAGCCAGGAACTTTCTCCAGGTCTCCCACGTGGACGACCTCGGCTGCTTTCCCAGGCCAGAAGAAGGAAGCTGGATGGGAAGCAGGGCTGCTGGGATTAGAACCGGCGGCCATATGGGGTCCTGGCATGTTCAAGGTGAGGGCTTTAGCTGCTAGGCCACTGTGCTGGGCCTGACAATTTTTTTTTTTAATTTTTTCATTGGAAAGGCGGATATACAGAGAGGAGAGACAGAGAGGAAGATCTTCCCTCCGATGATTCACTCCCCAAGTGAGCGCAACGGGCCGATACTATGCCGATCTGAAGCCAGGAGCCTCTTCCGGGTCTCCCACGCGGGTGCAGGGTCCCAAAGCTTTGGGCCGTCCTCGACTGCTTTCCCAGGCCACAGGCAGGGAGCTGGAAGGGAAGCGGGGCTGCCGGGATTAGAACCGGCGCCCATATGGGATCCCGGGCGTGCAAGGCGAGGACCTTTAACCACTTGCGCCACCGCGCCGGGCCCGGGCCTGACAATTTTATGTTAAAACTTGGTAATATACAGCAGCTATAAACAAACTTTTGGAAAATCACATCACTTACAATACTGCAGGTTCACAAAGACATTCCTGCCCCTCAAAGGGCTGCATATGTAAAATCTCATCCATAACAGGTCAGGTACTCCCACTAAAAAAGCCTTGACTTTTTTTTTTAAGATTTACTCATTTTTATTGGAAAGGTATGGCCGTAACAGCCAGACCTGAGCTGTTCTGAAGCTAGGAGCTTCCTCCAGGTCTCCCATGTAGATCAGGGTTCTAAGGACTTGGGCCACACTCCACTGCTTTCCCAGGCCGCAGCAGGGAGCTGAATGGGAAGCAGAGCAGCCGGGACACAAACCAGCAGCCAAGCAGGACACTGGCGCTTCGGGGTGGAGGATTAGCCAGCTGAGGATCGGCTAATGCACCGGGCCCAGCCTTGACTTCAATGACTGAGCATGAGAGGTCTGAAGCTCCCGGGATGGCAGACGGCCACCGTCCGACGCTGGCAGCTGAGTGGTGAGCAGTGCGGTGTCAGGAAGAGGAGCCACAGGGACGAATGCAGAGGAGCACGCAGCGGTTCGCCACTCGGTTCCTCCCACGACAGTCACAGGGAGGCCCCCCGAGAGCCTGGCCGCACGGGTCAGCAGTCCTGGGAACTGGCACACATGGCTCTATCTCGGGCACTGCTGGCTGGGTAACCAACCCCACCCTGTGGCTGAGCCCTCTTGTCAGGGTCTAACAATGACACTCCCAATTCATAGACCTCAGGGCTTACACAGTGGACTAGCATGCTAATCCTATACTAGCATGCTAATCCTATACGGGCATCCCATACGGGCGCTCGTTCATGTCCCAGTTGCTCCACTTCCCATCCGACTCCCCGCCTGTGGCCTAGGAAAGCAGCTGAGAATGGCCCAAGTCGTGGGGCACTGTACGTACATGGGAGAACGGGAAGAACTTCCTGACTTCTACCTCAATGAACCCACCTTTGGCCGTGGCAGCCATCTGGGGAGTGAACCAGCAGATGGAAGGTCTCTCTCTTTCTCAGTCTTTCAAGTAAAAATAAAAAGTCTTAAATTGAGAAAAATTCACAGAGCTCTGAAGGCCACTGCGTCTAGAGTAAGGGTCTTTATACAAGTAACTCAGATAAACAGGCCATCTGAACTGGATGGACCCAATCCACCATGACTGCCACCCACGGGCAGAGTTGTGCAGCCTGGACCCAGGGACGGCCAGGTGAGGCCAGAGGGAGAGGGAGCCACTCTGAGCCCAGGAGAGAAGCCATAAAGGACACACGGTTGGCCAACACCTGAGCATCACTCACAGCCTCCAGGGGTGCAAGGAAAAAATGCCCAGACTGTGGCCCTGCGTCAGGGCAGCCCACGCTGACCGACGCCCCTCAGTGGACCTCTCCACCACACTAACGCACCCTCTTCAGCTTCCCTCAGGGGGCCTGGCACAGGAAATCAGACGAGGTGTGTCAGTGTCACACAGACTCACGGATAAAGAATTGAGAACCTGCTTTAATTCCTCTCAGGCTTAAACTTGGCTGTGGCCTTGTGAGACCTTAGACAGAATCCAGATGAGTCACACTAAGCCTAGAGCGAGCCCTGGGAACTCGGCGAGAAACACCAGGTGTAGCTGCAAGCAGCTCTCTGTGCTGACTGCCAGCAGCACAGCAGAACGCGAACCCATCGGAGATCACGCCACAAAGAGGCAGCACTACACACTGAGACTCCAAATTACGATCTTTTCATGAATACCAGAATAAAAACAGAAAAAGTTGAAATTCCAACTTTGAGTCCTCCCAGTTACATTTCAACTCTCCAATTACTCATAGCCTGTTTAATAATTACTGTCTTAAAAGATTCACTGAGGAGCCTGGCGTGGTAGCCTAGTGTTTGGAATCCTGGCCTTGCACGTGCTGGGATCCCATATGGGTGCCAGTTTGTGTCCCAGCTGCCTCACTTCCCATCCAGCTCCCTGCTGGTGACTGGGAAAGCAGAATAGGACGGCCCAAAGCCTTGGGATCCTGCATCAACATGGGACACCAGAAGAAGCTCCTGGTTCCTGGCTTCAGATCGGCTCAGCTCTGGACATTGAAGCCGCTTGGGGGCTGAAGACTTTTCTCTGTATCTTCTTCTTTCTGAATATCTGCCTTTCAAATAAAAACAAATAAATCTCTAGAAAAACAAAGAGATTCACTGGTAAAACCTCAGAGAGACCCGAGCTAACAAACCAGTGTGCAAGGATTGCATGGACAGGACTTTCATGTTCCCGCCCAGCAGATGCTCAGATCCAAACCCAGCAAGGCAACACTGCTGTAGGAGTGGGTGCTGGGTACATCCCATGCCAGGGGGTCTGCGGTGCAGCCTGCCCCACTGGCACTCGAGCAGCCCACACACACTCAAGTACTAGACCCACATGGAGTTGCTAGATCTGGCTTTGGCCGGGCCCAGCTCCAGCTGCTGTAGACTCTGCGGAGCTAACCAACAGACGAACAATCTCTCCCACTCTTTGTCACTCTGCCTTATTAATGACTAAATAAATAGAAAAGATAAAGAAACACTGTTTTATGAAATTCTTCACATTCTTCTCCTCCCCTCCCTCCCCTTACTTTTTTTTGCCAGTTGCCATCTGCTCTGAAGATGGGCTCAGCGCTGGGCAGACACCCCGGCTTTCTAGCATCTTCTCTAACATGTCCCTGCATTAACGCAGGTGCAAGCCATGTCAAAGCCAACTCCACCCCAGAGTCCCAGGACCCACCTCCAGCAGCATCTTCACATCCCAAGCATCCTTCTCTTCATTTGGGTAACTTTTTGCCATGTTATAGTGCCTTTCTCCAGGTTTCACTTCTTGTGGAGACTTGAGAATGCGAATCTATACTTAAAGAGATAATACACTTAGAACACTTCCAGAAAAAAATCACATTGTTTTATCCTAAAAAAAAAAAAAAAATGCCATTCTAGAAAAAAGTTTAGCACCGAAATGCCACACATTCTCAGCATTGGTACACAATATTTAACACAAACTAAAAAGAATATGGTATGGAAAACACGGATGTGAACAAATTATAAAGGTACAAATGTGCTATAGTTTCATATCCTCCACATTTACTTGGAAAACATTAGACTTGGAGTTACACGAGCCTAAAATATTTACAACTAGAGTTAATGATCTAGAAATAAAGAGTAACAACGGATAAATCACTCTGTACATCACAGAAATAAAAGAGTACAAGAAGCAGGGATGTCCTACATGCGTTTCAGGCAGATCTGTATGACCCCAAAGCCGGAGCGGTGACAGAGGCTTCCCACAGCTGTCCCCGCTGCAGCAGTTTCGAAGTCTCTGCCTGCAGGGCCCACTCCAATCCGCCCTGCTACCCAGCAATAGGCTCAGTGGGGCAGGCGCAGTAGTCCTGCTGGTGGGTGGTCCAGCCAATCCTGGAGGGAACCACCTGGAAGCCCACCATGACTGCACACCCGGACCACACCCTCCAATTCATCTTTGACCACATGTCAAGGACTAAAGCTTCTACCTCTCAAATTACTTCTATATTTTCAACTGGTTCCACGCTCCTAAGGAAGAAAGGGATTTGAGTGGCCCCCCTAAACCTGATTCAGGCATTTCAAAGGTAAGGCAGGCTTGTACGCATCAACAGGGAATAATCTCCAAGACGCCAAGGAGCACCGCACCAGCACTGGGTCACAGGCAGACGTGCACAAACATGGCCGTGCATGCACACATCTCGCAGACACACGGAGCTCGGGGCGCGCAGCGGAAGGAGCGGCTGTGACGATGGACAGAGAACGTGCACTTACTTTTCCCTGGGTTTTGTACTGTGTATGTATTACCTAACAAGTGATAACTTAAAAAAACACAAAACAGCAAAAAGGAGGGAAAAATTATTCTCTTAGTTTCATATGAGAACTATCAAGGTTTAATATTTATGATATGTGATTAAAAGGTTTTTCCTACATCTCTAAATTCCATCTGATAGAACCTATAACATGACTAATCTGCATATCAAAATGTCTACTTTCTGTTCAAAGTGATTTCAAGTCTCTTTAATTAATCAATTCGGAATCATTTTGCTTTGAGACAGAATCAAGAAAATATTAACACATCAATGGTAGACATGCTATTAACAGATTACAAGGAATCAGGAGACACTTAAGGGCAAGAAACCTAACAGTTTTGCATACATAAATGCCTTGCACAGTGTATTTGAGTAAATTTTCTAAGGATTCAACAAAACTTTTGAGAACTGAAACTAAATTCAGATAAATGGAAAACACTTGAGAGAATAAAAGAATCACAAGCTGAAAGGGGGGAGCGGGAGCAGGATAAATGATGGACAGCGAAAACTTCATCTTCTAGAACCGCCGTAACCTCATCGAGAATCCCGGCGGCATCTGAGAACACGCACGCCCGAGGTGACCAACATCACATGGCGCCACGTCACCAACTACATGAGCCTCCTCTGTGGGTGAGTACCTGCTCTATCTGCACTCCGTAACCTTTGAACCCCGCATTGTCCCACGAGGTGTTCCGGTAGATATCATCCACTCTGTCGATCAGCTCTATCTGTGTAGAAAGGAAGCAGCCGTTACGCAGTGCGCATTTACCACCCCGTAACGTAATAGGAAACAGACACAAAACTCTCAGCTTAGAAAAACGTAATTGGCCCAAGGTCCTAATTATAACACCTATCATTAAAATACTAACTTCTATCACTGATGACACAAAGAAATTACTCCTACTCACAAACTTAGAATGTCATTACCAAAAGTCACAGTCCACTCCAAGTAAATTTTGGGTAATCAACTACATCTGAGACCAAAATATTCTCTAATAGACTTCTAAAATTTTTATCACTCTTTTAAAAAATATTCATTTTTATTTGAAAGAACAACAGAGTGTGACAAGTGAGATGAGAAGAACAGGGCTTCGAGCAGGCTCCAGATGGGGAGGCGGCCGTTGGCCTGCTTAACACACAGTCCACCAAATAGGGAAGTGTAGAGATTTACGGCCTGACTTGAAAAAGTAGCAGAGACAGGGCACAGAAGAGGCAGAGAGCCCTGCCACCCACTGGCTCACTCATCAAATGCCCTCAACAGCCTGTGCTAAGCCAGGGAGGAGCCAGGAGCCAGCAGTCAGGAACTTCCATCCGGATATCCCACCAGGGCGGCAGGTACTCGTATACTTTTTTTTAAAAAAAAGATTTATTTATTTTTACTGGAAAGACAACTTTACAGAAAGAAGATACAGAAAGAGAGATCTTCCATCTGCTGCTTCACTCCCCAAATGGCTGCAATGGCCAGAGCTGAGCCAATCCAAAGCCAGGAGCCAGGGACCAAGAGCTTCCTTCAGGTCTCCCACCTGGGTACAGGGTCCCAAAAACATTCCACATGGAAAGACCCAGAAGTTCCTGGCTCAGCTTTGTATCAGTTCAGTTCTGATCACTGTGGTCAACCGTGAGTCAGAGATGTAAGATCTTTCTATCCCTCCTTCTCTCTCTGTAAAATCTGCCTTTCAAATAAAAATATTTTTAAAAATACATATTCCTTAAAAAAACAAACTAGATTTTTCTTTACATTTATTTTCATAGTGTTATGAACAAAGAAGTAACATATCAGGTCCCCCAATATAAAACTCGTACTAAGAAAGAAGCTTTGGCCCTGGCGCAATACCCTAGCAGCTAAAGTCCTCACCTTTCATGCGCCGGGATCCTATATGGGCGCCGGTTCTAATCCCGGTGGCCCCACTTCCCATTCAGCTCCCTGCTTGTGACCTAGGATGGCAGTTGAGGACGGCCAAAAGCCTTGGGACCCTGCACCTACGTGGGAGACCCAGAACAAGCTTCTGACTCCTGACTTCAGACTGGCTCAGCTTTGGCCATTGCAGCCACTTGGGGAATAAATCAACATACAGAATATCTTCCTCTCTGTCTCTCCTCCTCTCTATATCTGACCTTCCAATAAAAATAAATAAAATCTTAAAAAAAAAAAAAAAAGAGGCTGCCTTTTAAAAAAGAGAAGGAGAGACAGAGAAGCTTTGCCAAAAAGAATGTCAGTTCAGGACAAGAGTTAGAGTGACTGCCACAATCCTCATAATAAAATCATTGAAAGCAGGAGGAAAAAAGGGTGATGGGTGCCAATAAAAGCGGCAGAATGGGGAAAGCAAGTCACCGAGACAGGCGACTGTCCTGTACCAGGCGGTGGGCATGAATAGCTCCATTTTCTTTTATTCATTCAATAACATTTTGGTCGGTGCCAAGTTATCATGACCAATGAGGCCACAGTAACAAAAATCTCCCTGAAAAATTACTCCCCTAACCTTAAAAATTATAATAGCACATGCCTAAAGCTGCAGGGCCAATGCTTCCTACAAGCTCTCTGCCCCTGGCTGGACAGTCCAACGCTCAGCTCGCTAACACAGCCGACCAACACGGCCATTGTTCTCTGAAACACACAGCTTCACAAAGACATACTTGTCCGACCAGGGAGCAGAGCCGCACACGTGACACCACAGGGTCACGACACCACGGGGTCACGACACCACAGGGTCACGACACCACAGGGTCACGGCCACTGGCGCAGGCACGTTCTTCAAGAGCTCCCTCATTTAAATAAAGGACAGCATCACAAATTTTCCCAGTTAGCATAAAAGTTACAACATACAGAAAATATTACTTCAAATATAAAGTACATTTTTAGAAATTTGAAACTACAGTTTCCATACAGTAACGTGGGAACCAGACAACGTCCCTCAAATGCTTCAGAAACATCTGAGCACCGAACAGACTGGGTTTCATTCCACGGGTGATGGCTGTGGTCTCAGGTTTAGAAGAACCCACCCACCTGCAGGGAGTCCGCCCCGCCAGTGCTCACCAGGTAGTTGGTGGTGGTGCTCTCCTCCCCTCTGCCCATGTATCTGTAAAAGCGGTGATCGGCGACCACCAGCAGTTTGCACGTGTTCTTCATGGGGTTTGGCTCAGCTCGCCTCTTCACGCGGTGAGCAAGCCCTAAAGGAATTTGTAGGCACTAGTAAATCAAATTTCATCGCAACAAGGCAGATTTTCTTTTTCACATAACACCGCAGTATACTTCTGAAATACATGTTATTTGAGGGGCTGTGAATGTGGCAAATCAGATAAAGCCACTTCCAATGGTGCTGCTTTCTGTCCCAGCTGCTCCACTTCCCATCCATCCTAATACACTTGGGGAAGCAGCAGAAGATAGCCCAAATGCTTGGGCCCTTGCACCCACATGGCAGACCTGGAAGAGGCTCCTACATTCGTGCCACACCAGTTCTAGCCATTGTAGCCATTGAGGGAGTAACCCAGCAGCACCAGCGACCCATACAGGCACTGGTTTGAGTCCCAGTTGCTCTATTTCCAATCCAGCTCCCTGTCAGCAGCCTGGAAAAGCAGCAGAGGATGGCTCAAGTGATTGGCCTCCTGCACCCACCTGGAGGCCCTCAGAAAGCTCCTGATTCCTGGCTTCAGGTGGCCCAGTGCTAGCCGTTACAGCCAGCTGGGGAGTGAACCAGCAGATGAAAGGTTCTCTCTCCCTCTCTCTCTCTCCTTTAGTGTAAATGTTGTCTTTCAAACAATCATTTTTTCAAAAATCTAAGCAAGACCAGTCACGGTATCTAGTGGCTGAGGTCCTTGCCTTGCACGAGCCAGGATCCCATGTGGGCACCAATTTGTGTCCCGATGGCTTGCTTCCAATCCAACTCTCTCCTCTTGGCCTGGGAAAGCGATGGATGATGGCCCAGGGTCTTGTGACCCTGCATCCGTGTAGGAAACCCAGAAACTCCTGGCTTGGATTAGCACAGCTCCGGCCGTTGCGCTCACTTTGGGAATGAATCAGCAGACGGAGGGTCTTCCTCTGTCTCTCCTCCTCTCTGTATAGCTGACTTTTCAATAAAAATAAATAAATCTTTAAGGGAAAAAAATCTGAACAAAAAAATCTTAGAGGAATACAGAAAATAAAAAATGAGAAATTCAAAAAGCAATCACCATCTTAATTACTAAAATCAGAAGCTTTAAAAAGTGCTTAACAAAGTAAAACAACTGCTTACTAGTGGGCTATGAAGCCGGCAGGTGTGCTCCTTTAAAAGCAGCCATGAATTGAAGTAACAGCTCAAAGGTCAAGGTTCTCTGTGAAAACCGGGATTATATTACAGATTGGGAGTGAACCAAGCTGGGCCAGTTCAATTCACCCGCTGGCACATCTGAGCACCAGATTGGAGGGTGGGTCAGGCTGGGTTGGGTCGCATACCAGTTCACATGAAGGCTGAGACTAGGGAACAGATGGGCTGGGCTAGGCTACAGTCCCCACCAGTGTGAGCTGGAGTTGGGGGAGGGCTGGCGTGGGCCAGGCTACAGCACCCACTGGCAAATGCCGAGGTGAGGCAGGCCATGCCAGACCGGGCCGCAGCACTCAACCGCACACGTGAGACACGGAGGAAGGGGCGAAGCTGGTAGGGGGGCTGCATGGGGCCCACCTGCTGGACCACCACTCCCACTGGGATGGGGGTAGACCAGGCCAGGCAGGGATTCAACACCTGTTGTCCTCATGTGAGCTAGACCAGGAGAAAGCCAGACTAGGTTGACTGTTCCTACTGGTACAAGCACAAGTGAGAGTGGGTGTGGGTTGGTTGGGCTTTGCCACAGCATTAGCTGGCAGATGCTGGCACAGGGGGCCAATTCTGTCAAGTTAAACTGCAGAACCACCTGCAGAGTGCAGGATCCGGGAGTGGGAGTGGGCCCGGTAGGGAAAGAGAGGGCACCTCCTTATTGGGTAACCACTCCAACTGGTAAGCATAAAAACCAGGACTTGGGCAGGCATGGCTAGACAGAGAGTGGCACCTGCTGGAACATGCATGGGCTGGACAGGGGAGCTAGTTGGGCTGAACTGGGCTTCAAGGCCCATTGACACACGTGAGAGCTGAAGGGATGTGGGACAGACAGGACCAGCCAGCTGTATATACTGGTAAGCACAAGAATCAGGGCATGGGCCAGGCGCTGTGGCCTAGTGGCTAAAGTCCTCGCCTTCAACATGCCAGGATCCCATATGGCTGCTGGTTCTAATCCCAGCTGCCCCACTTCCCATCCAGCTCCCTGTTTGTGGCCTGGGAAAGCAGTCGAGGACAACTCAAAGCCTTGGGACCTTGTACCGCGTGGGAAACCCAGAAGAGCTCCTGGCTCCTGGCTTCAGATCGGCCCTGTACTGGCTGTTGTAGTCACTTGGAGAGTGAATCATCAGATGGGAGATCTTCCTCTCTGTCTCTCCTCTCTGTATATCTGACTTTCCAATAAAAATAAATAACTCTTAAAAAAAAAAAAAAAAGAAACAGGCATGGAGCGGGCCTGATGGGGGTTACCACAGGTCACTCTAACTAGGCCGCAGCTACCACTGGTGTACGTGAAGGCTGAGTGTGTGGTGGGCCGATTGGGCTGGGCTACAACACCCATTGGTTTACACAGAAGTCAGGGCTGGAAGTAGAAGTGACCCAGCAATTGCAACTAACAGCACATGCATAAGCTGAATGGGGCAATGGACTGTGCCGGACCCTGTGCTGGCAAGCACACACAAGAATCAGGTCTGGGATCACCTCAGATGAAATTTCTTTGGGGATTCCCCCAGCTGAACTGCTGGACTCAGAACCCAACCTTGGAGAGAATTGTAGGTTCCATGGTCTGACCGTGGAGTGCATATGTCAGAGCTGGGCCTCCTCAGTGTCAAATGGAGCAGAGGATGACATGTTTAGGTGCATATGGAGGATATGACAGTCCATCGGAACCTGCAGAGGACACCTGGTACCACAACAGAGGATGGAGGACAGAACAATTCACCTGCCCCAAATCAACTACCCCAGACAAGCACTAGCAGTGAGTATCTGGGCAGACGGAGACTCTAAGGTGGACTATGTCAACCAGTGGATTCTGGAGAGATTTTTTTCATGCTTGGAGTGGCGAGACTGGCAGTAATTCAGAACTGTTGAACTATCGAAACCTCTTGAGCAGGACCCTCGGAGCATGCTCCACACTGGGGACCCTGGGGTGGTTGGGAGGCTGGGAGTGGCTTCTCCCTTTCTCTCTCTCCTTCCAAAAAATGAGAATGTGGAAACAGAGCTCTCACCCACCTTCCTGTAGCCCTTGACCCTTATCACTCTAATCAATTATGTAAAAATCATCAAAAATAAAAATTTTAAAAATGAACAGGAACTCTTTCAACCAGACTGTATTTGTCTTTATAATAAACGGTCATATGCTCTAAGGTCTTCGAAAAAGACAGAAAGCCGCTCCACACTTGCTTTGTAAACGTCCCTAAACACATCTGTCCTGAGACCAATGATCTTGACCTCAACAACACTGTCATTTCGAAATGCCTGCAGTACGACTTCCTCTGGTTATTCAATTTCCGTTAACACTTTCTTTTGAATTCCTTTCTGCCACAAGTTTTTAGCTCACACGTTACAAACAAAGAATTTCTCAAAATCAAATCATTTTCCTGTCATGTAATATATAGTTCCTTGATTACTTTTTTGGGGGGCAGAGGGGAGTCAGATATACAGAGAGGAGAGACAAGGAAAGATCTTCCATCTGATGATTCACTCCCCAAGTGGCCACAACTACCAGGGTTGAGCTGATCTGAAGCCAGGAGCCAGGAGCTTCTTTCGTGTCTCCCATGTGGGTTCAGGGTCCCAAGGCTTTGGGCCGTCCTCCACTGCTTTCCAGGCCATAAGCAAGAAGCTGGATGGGAAGTGGAGCAGCCAGGACACGAACCAGCGCCCATTGGGGTCCTGGGCATGCAAGGCGAGGACTTTAGCCACTAGACTACTGCATTAGGCCCTACATGGTTTTTTGGGTTTTTTTTAAACCAAATAAGTACAACCTTAGATTGAAACAGTCACAATGTGCCACTGCAGTCTTACCTTCAGGGGGCTCCATGTCCATGAGCCCCTCTGGAAGCAACTCTTCACCATCCACTTTTATATAGCCACACACTTTTGGAGACTGCAAACGGGAAACGTTCTTAATATCTTCAGATTTATACACTAACATTCTTTTCTCGGCAGGATCATTAACAAATCTCCAAAGTGGCTACAAAGGGAAATAAGGCTGAGATATAAAATACAATTCTTAAAGAGTATATTAAATTTTTGCAATAATCTTTGCTTGTTCTTAGATAACATTCCTTTCTTGGTTAGGTATACTGACCAGTCATGTTATCTAAAATAAACATTTCAATATTTACCACATGGAATCTTTATGCTGGTAAATAAATACATGGATTATTTATTCATTATTTTATCTATTAAAAAAGATTTACTGTGTACATTTTGAATTTTTTTTTTAAGATTTATTTTTATTATTTTTTCATTGGAAAGGCGGATATACAGAGAGGAGAGACAGAGAGGAAGATCTTCCATCTGATGATTCACTCCCCAAGTGAGCGCAACGGGCCGATACTATGTCGATCCGAAGCCAGGAGCCTCTTCCGGGTCTCCCACGCGGGTGCAGGTTCCCAAAGCTTTGGGCCGTCCTCGACTGCTTTCCCAGGCCACAGGCAGGGAGCTGGAAGGGAAGCGGGGCTGCCGGGATTAGAACCGGCGCCCATATGGGATCCTGGGCGTGCAAGGCGAGGACCTTTAACCACTTGCGCCACCGCGCCGGGCCCCATTTTGAATTTTTTAGAATGTGTATATCTATATATTTAAAAGATTTTTAAATTTTTTTTAAGATTTATTTATTTTTATTGGTAAGTCAGATATACAGAGAGGAGAGATAGAGAGGAAGATCTTCCACCCGATGATTCACTCCCCAAGTGAGCACAACAGTCAGTGTTGTGCCGATCCGAAGCTGGGAACCAGGAACTTCTTCCAGGTCTCCCACACGGGCACAGGGTCCCAAAGCATTGGGCTGTCCTCGACTGCTTTCCCAGGCCACAAGCAGAGAGCTGGATGGGAAGTGGAGCCGCTGGGATTAGAATTGGCGCCCATATGGGATCCCGGTGCATTCAAGGCAAGGACTTTAGCCGCTAGGAAACGCCACTGGGCCCAAGATTTATTTATTTTTACTGGGCAGTCAGACATACAGAAAGTAGGAGAGACAGAAAGGAAGATCTCCATCTTTTGATCCACTCTCCAAGCAGCCACAACCGCTAGAGCTGAGCTAATCTGAAGCCAGGAGCCCGGAGTCTCTTCTGGATCTCCATCACAGGTGCAGGGTCCCAAAGCACTGGGCCGTCCTCGACTGCCTTCCCAGGCCAGGCCACAAGCAGGGAGCTAGATGGAAGTGGGACCACCAGGATTAGAAGTTTCTTGTTCAAGTGATATTTCCATTCTAATTTCTTTAATATTTAGGTGTTTGACTTCTTTTTGCCATGCTGGATTTTAAGTACAAGAAAGAATAAGCATTTCACAGAAGACCTAATATTTGCAACACTTTGCCTGGAATCTATTACTGGTTTCAGAAAAAAAACAATTTTTTTGGTTGTTTTGGTTGTTTTGGGGGAGAAGCTGAGAGACACAGACAGCCAGGCAGCATGAGCTGCCATGTGCAAAGAACCCAGGCCAAAGCAAGGACCCAGGAGTCCTTTAGCAGGGTTGGAGCAGAGACCCAGCCGCTCGAGCTGTCACCTGCCTCTTCCCATTGTGCACAGGGCAGCAAAGCATCCCAATATATGATGTGGTCAGAATTTTTCTCCAACGTTTTAAAAAAAGATTTTACTTATTTATTTGAATATAGAGGAGAGAGAGAAATCTTCCTTCTGTGAGCTCACTCCCCAAATGGCCACATGGGATGGGTGCTGGGCCAGGCTGAAGCCAGGAGCTGGTCTCCCCGCAGATCTCCCATGTGGGTGACAGGACCCCAAATACCTGGGGATCCCCCACTGCTTTCCCAGTTATATCATCACGGAGCTAGACCAGAAGTAACACAAGCAGGACTTGAACCAGAACGCACACAGAATGCCAGTACTGCACGCAACGGCTGAACTGCAACACCAGCCTAGGATGTGGCTATCTTCTAACCTTCAGGTTAAAAAACTGCCCTAGGAAAGCAAGCTGTTATTGTTTGTTTTTCAAGATTTAATTACGTATTTGAATTACAGAGAACAAAAGAGAGGAGAGAGTTCTTGCACCTACTGGTTCACTCTCCAAACAGCTACAAGGCTTCGGACAGGGTATAATCCAAGCCAGGAGCTACTTCTGGTCTCCGTATGTGTTGCAGGGTTCCAATCTAACGAGCCATCACCTGCTGCTTTCCCAGGGGCACTAGCATTGAGCTGGAATGCAAGTGGAGCAGCCAAGACTCAAACTGGAGCCCGTACAGAATGCTAATGTTTGTAGGCGTTGGCTTAACCCACTGTGCCTCAGCACCAGCCCCCAAAAGTAATTTGAAACCACGCATTCACCCTGTTGCAAAGCCACAATAAAACACAAGTAAAGTTCTCCCAAGGTCACTCAAGTCAAAAGGACATTTCTGTCGCTATAAAACAAACTTCTCTGTAGTGAACTGTCTCATCAGAGTCAGACTGTAAGACTAAAGAGTTTACACACATAGGCTTCAAAAAATTCAGGGATAATGTACATTATGACAGAAACTATGCATGGATTTCAAAACTTTTTTTGCACCAAAATAAACTTTAATTCTGTTTTTCAATATCGGTTTTCAAGAGTTCTGTATTCCTGCTTCGTGAGAGAAAGGCAAATCAAACTGAGACACTTACTCATATCTATTAGGATGACAACATCAAACTCTGGTAAGGAAGTGCAGGAATCGGAAGTCTCACATGCACTGACATGAACATGAGATAGCGCCATCACTCGGAAACACATTTTGCCAGTTTTTCAAAAAGTTAAACAAAATTACCAAATGAGCGGCAATTCTGTTCCAAGCATTCACCCAAGAGAAATGGAAGCTTGTTCACGGCAGCATCATTAATAACATCCCAGAGGTAGAAACAACCCAAATATATATCAATTAATGAACCAAATGTGGCATTCCAAACAATGGAGTATTATTTGCAATAAGAAGAAAGGAAGATCTCATGCATGCTAAAACATGAATGAATGATGAATACATTATTCTAAGTGAAAGGGGTCAAACAGAAAAGCTCAAATGTTGGGGTGAGCATTGTGGTGTAGCAGGCACAACCACTGCCTGTGATGTCAACATGCCATCTGGGGCCAGCTCGAGTCCCAGCTGATGCAGTTCTAATTCAGTTTCCTGCTAAGTGTCCAGAAAAAGCAGCCGAAGATGGCCCAAGAGTTTGGACCTCTACCACCTAAGTGAGAGACTGGATGAAGCTCCTGGCTTCATCTTAGCCCAGCCCCAACCAGTGCAGACTGCCAGGCAGTGAACCAGTAGATGGAAACTCTCTCTCTCTTTTTTTTTTCAAATGTCCATATTATATTATTCTGTTTATATGTAATGACTGAAACAAGCCAATCTAGAAAGACAGTAGGGGCAGATGTTGTGGGCCAGAGGGCTGAGCCACTGCACAGGATACCCACACCCTTTGAAGGTCAACTCCAGCCCCAGCTCCTCCATTTCCTTTCTGTCCCCTGCAGGGTGCCAGGGAGGGAGTAGGTGAAGGCCCTGCCATCCACACGGGAGGCCCAGATGATCCCAACTCCTGGCCAGGTTGGCCAGCTCTGGCTGTTGGTGACATCTGGGGAGTGAACCAGCCAACGGGAGATCACAGCATCTACCCCTGTCTCTCTCCCCCTCCTCGCTCACTCTCTCCCTGTGTCTCTGCCTTTCAAATAAATCCAAAACAAAATAAATTACAGACAGGTTAGTGATTCCCTACGGCTGGGAGCATTACAGAGAAACAGAGTAAGGCTGGCTAAAGGATCCAGGGTGATGAAAAGGTTCTAGAATGTACTACGGTGGTGGTAGCATGCCTCAACAAATACACTTAAACCCAAGGAACTGTACATTTAAATGGGTAAACAGTAAAGTATATAAATTTTATCTCACAGAGCTATCACACACACGCACACAGATGTGCTCCTGTGGCTGGGATCCAAGGAGCCCACACTAAGCTGAAAGCCACGACACGCAGCTCTGCCTCCCCTCCCGTGTGCCTGAGCACCTTCCCTTGCTGCACCTCGGGCTGCTGCCCGCACCGCCACAGCATCTGCGGCTACATTCTGAAGTACATTTCTACAAAATGCACATTCTTTTCACACTGTTATCAAGTTAAAAAAAAAAAAGAAACTTACATTGGAGACTGTGCATGTCCAACTTTTTGTATAATTCACAGAGACAGACTTGAGAATCAACAGTTAGCGTCTGACAGTGCTATGCAGTGGGTGAAGCTGCTGCCTGGGAAGGTACAAAATAGGCCAGGCTCCTGGCTTCCGACTAGGCTAGCCCGGGTTGTTGCAGACATTTGTCAAGCAAGTCAACACAACTCAACTGGGTCTCTCTCATGGGGGGAAGGAACCCAAGCACTTGAGCCATCATCTGCTCCTTCCAGGACGCACAGGTAGCTGGATCAGAAGCCGAGGCAGGACCCGATTCCAGGAACTCGGAGAAGACATGCAGGCATGAAACGGCAGCTTAATATGCAGCACCAGCACTAGCCCCACCAGAGAATTTACTTCAGAAATCAGAAAACAACCAACTAGCAAGTGGTTTAACTAAAGACTAAAAGAGTTATACGAACATGAAAAGATGTTCACAATTACATGGCTGAATAGAAAATGTGAAAACAAATCACATGAGTAGCCACCCTCTGCTGCTTCCCCAGGCCATAATCCGGGAGCTGGATTGAAGTGGAGCAGCCGGGACACCAACTGGAACCCATACCATGCTAGCCACAGCTTTTTTTTTTTTTTTCCTAAGAATGACTTATGAGCCAATGTTGTGGCACAGCAGGTAAAGCACACCATTCAAGTCCCGGCTGTTCTACTTCTGATTTAGTTCCCTGCTAATGTTCCTAGCAAAGCAGCGGGACACAGTCCAAGTGCTTGGGCCCCTGCACCCAAGTGTAAGTCCTAGAAGAAGCCCTGGCTTCTGGCTTCGGCCCGACCAGCCACTGCGGACAATGCAGCCATTAGAGAACCAACAGAGGAAAATTAACCGCTCTCACTCTCCTTCTAACTGCCTTTCAGATAAACAAATCTTTTTTTTTTTTAAGATTTATTTATTTTTATTGGAAAGTCAGATATACAGAGAGGAGGAGAGACAGAGAGGAAGGTCTTCCATCCAATGATTCACTCCCCAAGTGAGCGCAACGGCCGATGCTGTGCCAATCCGTAGCCAGGAGCCAGGAACTTCTTCCAGGTCTCCCACACGGGTGCAGGGTCCCAAGGCTTTGGGCCGTCCTTGACTGCTTTCCCAGGCCACAGGCAGGGAGCTGGATGGGAAGTGGAGCTGCCGGGATTAGAACCGGCGCCCATACGGGATCCCGGCTCGTTCAAGGCGAGGACTTTAGCCGCTAGGCCACAGCGCTGGACCCCAGATAAACAAATCTTTAAGAAAAAAAATCTGCTTATCTGAAGGAGTTAGAGAAGAGAAATCTTGCAACTGCTAGCTCACTTCTAGATGGCTGCAACAGCCAGCGCTGAGTTAGACTGAAGCTCATGCAGGGTGCCCACATGGACAGCAGGGTCCAAGCACTTGGATCATCTGCTTTTCCCAGGCCAGTGGCAGGGAGCTGGATCAAAACTGAACCAGTTGGACATGAACCTGCGCCCCCATGGGATGCTAGCCTTATCTGCCATGCCACAATTCTGGCCCTAAACTATGTCTATAACTGATCCAGCATTTCTGTCTAGCACAGAGAGAAATGGAGAAGATAAACCTCACCCTCATTTTTGGGAATGGCTACACTAAACAGTAGGAATAGAAGACAAAGAAAAAATGAATCTGGGGAGAAAAAGTTTCTCTACCTCTACGTACCACACAGGTGATTCAACTGTGGTTGTTAGAAATACACAGTGCACGGGCCTGGTGCAGCAGCCTAGTGGCTAAAGTCCTCACCTTGTACATGCTGGGATCCCATATGGGCATTGGTTCTAATCCCAGCTGCCCCACTTCCCATCCAGCTCCCTGCCTGTGGCCTGGGAAAGCAGTGGAGGACGGCCCAAAGCCTTGGGACCCTGCACCCATGTGGGAGACCCGGAAAAGGCTCCTAGATTTGGATTGGCTCAGCTCCAGCTGTTGCAGGCACTTGGGGAGTGAGTCAATGGATGGAAGATCTTCCTCTGTCTCTCCTCCTCTCTGAATATCTGACTTTCCAACAAAAATAAATAAAAATTTATTAAATAAATAAATATTAAATAAAATTTTTTAAAAAAGAACCTAGTCAGAAAAAGTGAAAAGCAATATCAAATATTAAAAACAATAATAATAAGATATCTCAGGTCAACTCCTCAAAGATGTAACTGTATTATTCCTTTGAAAGTCACGGATTTTCCTTAAAAAACCAAATACAAGAGAAAACAAATACAATCAATACTCATCCTTGCAACCTTTAAACCAGAGGAGACAGCTTCTAAACAGAAGATCACAGGCGGTTACCTCTACATTGTATTCTGCCCCATCTGTGTTGATTCTTATTGTAACATCATCATCTCCGATATGGGCTAGAACTCTAGAATCAGGCTCACCTTTAGAGAAAAAAAATTTTTTTAATTAAAAAGTATTTCCATTAAGTAAGCTATGCACTATTGTCAATAAATCAACCAAAGCCAGCAGAACAGAATTTTCCTTGGTGCTCTGCAATCAGGAAACCAAAGCCCTAGAGAGAAGCTAGGCAATCCCCTTGCAAAGAGCAGCTGCAGACCCAAGCATCTGAAACGGATTCATGTCCCCTGCTTTCAGTGGGAAAGCACTAAGAGAAAGCAGGAAGCATGCGTGTAGAACACACACAATGCACTTCTTGAGCTGTACTGGGGACTGCAGTGCCATTTCTTTTTTCTTACTGCATAAAAACTTTAAAAAGCAAACTGCAGGTATGGCATGCATCTTCTCACAGAAATACATCATCGGCTCACATGGTAAATAATTTCCCAGCTTCCTACTAAGAGGCCCCAGAGAGGGGCGCTCCTCTCAACCAGACATCAGCTGGAGCTCCGGGCCCTTAGCTTCCATCTGCTCTCGGCCAACAGACGGACAATCCCAATCTCTCCCTCTCTTCGATACAAATAAAGTGAACATGTTTTTAATCTCTAAAGAAAACCTAGAAGCCCGCCTGAAGACAAGAGGTTAAATTCTTACTACCTGAGCGGAAATTTTAAATCATTAAGTCAGCCAGCCAGTATGACTTGCTAGATAAGGTCTATTGCCTCCTTCGAGAATATCTCCTCTTCCAAATTTACATTGCTCAAATAAAACCATCAAAGAACAGCACCTACATGGAACCATTTCCCTACCACCACTAAAACGGAATATGCAATCAAGTTAGCCTCAAGGACCCAGCACCCACGTAAGGCAATGACATCAGCTCCATACTGACCAACCACGTGTCCGCTGAAGAAGTCCTGCCACTTCACAGTGTACTCGCTCTCATTTTTGCCATCCACCACGACGACTTTGAAATTTTGTGAAAAGCGTTCAGTACTTGATGTCAGATATAATTTAAAATGTCTGAAAAAAAATACATTCATAATTTATACTCTGAGCAATAAGAATTACCTTACATTTACATTTACATTTTCTTTTGTCTGAAAATGTCTTTATGTTGCCTCTTTTCTTTTTTTTTTTTTTGCCTTTTTAAATTATTATTATCATTTTATGATTCCCATAGGTCCTCGGATTTCCCTTATCCCTTCCTAATTGCCCACCCCTGCCACTGAGTTCCCCTGTATTATTACTATAGTATAGTTTTTAAAAACGGTTATATTTTCATCATCGCAGGCATGGACAATGGCAAAGAGTCCAGCATCCTATTGTCAAGATACAGTTAAAAGTTTCATTGGGAGTCCATCTTCGATCTGGTTTAAATGACTTTGCCCCACACTACCCCCATTATCCAAAAACAGACGTCCCCTCCACCTTTCCAACCATGAGTGGCTTCAGACAAGTAAATGCAGCCCTAATATAAACCAATTGTTTCAGCTACCTCATTTTATCTCTCCCTCTTTCTTTTCTGCTTTCCAAAAAATATTTTAAAAGAAAAAAAAAAACCTTACACAATATAATAGAAAGGGAAGGGTTTAGGGGCCAACACCATGGCATACCAGACTAATGCTCTGCCTGAGACATCAGCATTTAGTGTGGGCGCCAGTTCCTGTCCCTGCTGTTCCACTTCCCATCCAGCTCCCTGTTAATACACCTGAGAAGGCAGCAGAGGACGGCCAAGTGCTTGGGCCTCTGCGCCCAGGAGGGAATGCTCCGCATCTGCACGGCTCCAGACACCGTTGCCACTCTGGGAGTGAGTCAACAGATGGAACACCTCTCTCTGCCTCTCCTCTCTGTAACTTATTCAAATAAAAATAAATCTTTTCGTAAAGGAAGGAAGAAAATGTGGGGCAGGGTATGGGATTTGGAGTCTGACAAATTTTGCTCAAACCTTGCATCTTGGTCTTCAGTAGACAGATTGGTTGACTGGCTGACTTAAAAGGCAGAGCTACACAGACAAAGGGGAAGACAAGGGTTTTCCATCCACAGTACCCTCCCCAAAATGGATACAACATCCGTGTTGGGCCAGGCAGAACAGGACACTGGAACTCCACCCAGGTCTTCCATAGGAGTGGCAGGGGCCCAAGGACTTGCGCCATCTTCTGTTATCAGGAAGCTGCATCGGATGCAGAGCATCTGGAACCAGTGTTTACATGGGATGTTGGCTTCATAGGTGGCTGCTTAACCTGCAGCGCCACAATGCAGGCCCCTCCCACCTTGTCATCATCTCACAACACAGTTATCCAGCTACAGATATAAAACTGCCTACCTGCTCAATGGTTTTAAGAGTTAAATGAAACCATCACATGCCACAAAAGTCTCATAGACTAGTAAGTGCATTTCCTATTAAACATTTCAGATGGAGGGCTGGCAATGGAATGCCACAGTTAAGCTGCTGCCTGCACCAGCATCCCACGTTGGAGTGCCAGTCTGAGTGTGTGATGTTCCCCACTTTGGTTTCACCAGCCCTGGTGACTGCAGGGACTGGTTCCAGGACCTTCTTGGATAGCAAAAATCTGCGGTTGTTCAAACCCAGCACATAAAATGGTGTCGTCCTTGCATGTAAGCTAGGCACTTAACCCACATACTTTGAAATGTCTCTTGACTATTTACAATACCTAGTAAAACATAAACACTCTGTATACTGCTGATTCCATATTGTTTATGGAATTATGAAAAAAATAGTCTGACAGCATTTTTTTCCAAAATACTTTCAGTCAACTGTTGGTTGAATCCACAAATGCAGAGCTCGTGAATACAGGCAGATAGCTGCAGATATATTCCTAAGTCTACATGCAAAAAATATACATCAGCTACTCCTGAGGTTAACCAAGGAAACCTCTCTAGATCTAGGAACTCAAAGTCAGTAAGGGAAAAAAAAATAACTTACTCTATATAATACTAGTTGCTGCTTTTTTTCTAAGAAGGGGAAGGGCTATAACAGAGAATACTTCAGCCCATTCATACCCTTCCTAGCTTCTGTCCTTGCTATTGGATGTTTCCTAAAAAGTCTTCAGAGAATGACTGAACAGACTGAAGTTGGTCATGCAACTAGAGCAGTACTGCCATGACTGTCATGGGCCTCACGCCAACACCCCGTGAGAGCCCAGGCCCAGCCTCGGTCTCCCTGCCTCCACTGCAGGGAGGTAGGATATGCAACTGACTGGGACCACCGGGCCGCCCACGTGGGACCAGAGATGAAGGCCCCGGCTCCTGTCTTGCACCTGTCATACTTCTGACTGCCCTGGCTGCTGCAGCCACTTAGACAGCAAATTAGCAGCTGGAAGATGTCTGTCCCTCCCTCACTCTGTCACTCTGCCTTTCAATCAAATAAATCATTAAAAAATTGCTGCCCAATCAACGCATCTTAGCAAGGAAGGGCAACTCCAAGCATATTAAATTTTAGAGACAGTCTGCCGTCATACTGGGGATCCTGAACAAAAGCTCCATCTCTACACCTCAGCATCTCCACACACAAAAGAAAGACACATTCAGCATAAAGTTGATGGTTCTAAAATAGCACCAAAAATTTACGGTTCTAGAAGCAGTCATGAAATTCATAAACATTGATATCACAAAAACTGCAAACCCATTTACTTTTTTAAAATACTTGTCCCTTTTCGTTTTAGAAGTCTTAATATAACAATCAAATATGAAGGACTATATCAATTACCTTTAAAGTGTTACTACCAAAGATTCCAGAGGATACCTCTATTTTTCTGCTTTTGCCACACCAAGCCCCCATCTGCCTAACATTCTACAAATAACCCCAATTACCTTTTCAAAGCTGAAAAAGTGAGCAGTGTTTCTAAGTGTGCCGAGGCCTGTAGATCCCTTTTCCTTACCGAGTGCTGCTGGATACTAGATAAAGAGAGGACATCGTAGTCTGAGAGCAAAGAATCAAGCTTCTCTGAAACAAAGGTGAAAAGGCTGTTAGCATGCAAACCACTCACCAACCACTCCACCACTCGGGGAAGCGCCAGACACCAAACCCTCCTGCGGAACGACGCAGTGCATACGGAGCATCCCTACAGAAACAGAACCTGAGTCTGATGAGCACCCAAGTGCCAGTTTCTGGGACATGAACGATCAGATGTGGCCAAGCTAAATAACAACCAGAATTTCTACAGTACCAACAACCCGTTTCTTCAGGAAGCAGGAGGCACGGGGAAGAGGGAGGGGCAGAAACCCGACAGGTGCAGGAACACACGCAAGCGCAGTGTGTGAACCTCTGGGACTCCAGGACAAATAAACGAGCTATGGGGAGACAGGGAGAGGGACGTGTGAGTGTGGACTATTCCGGCAGAGACCAGTCATTCGGAATTCTCAGAGTACATTATGCATTAGGATAACCTCTAAAAGACACTTAAGTGTAGTTTCCTCTTTTTTTAGGTATAGATGCCAAAATGTTGTTATAGCAACTCCTTATCGGCTGATGTGTCACAAAGAGGGAAACAAATGCCCAAGTAACCTAATCCAGGAAAACAAATCTTTTCTAGAAAAGTCACATCTTCCAAATTAAAGAACAGCAACGTGGTAGCATGCTTATCTCTGCTGCCCTCAGCAGGCACAGGGCATCAGGCCATCAACACCACTGAGAAGTGACAAAACCAACAAACCTCTACTACAGAAAATCCCAACAGCACAAAGCACTTGACCAGACCAAGTCAGCACCCAGGAAAAGATGGACTTGTCTCCCAAGACAGAAAAATAGCAAGTTTTGATTTGGTGCAGACCAAGAGTAAACACAACAAAATACATGTCATACCTAAAAATCACTTTTCATCAAAGGTGCACTGCTGTTGCCTCTACAATCAGGATTTTTAGAAGAAACCTGTGTGACTTGAGTGTCTTTAAAAAGGTACCTAAAAGGGCCCAGCACGGTGGCCTAGTGGCTAAAGTCCTCACCTTGTGCATGCTGGAATCCCATATGGGTTCTAATCCCAGCAGCTCCACTTCCCATCCAGCTCCCTGGCTTGTGGCCTAGGAAAGCAGGTGAGGACAGCCCAAAGCCTTGGGACCCTGCACCCATGTGGGAAACTTGGAAGAGCTCCTGGCTCCTGGCTTCAGATCGGCTCAGCACCGGCCATTGTAGTCACTTGGGGAATGAATGATCGGACAGAAGATATTTCTTTCTCTTCTCTCTCTATATATCTGACTTTGCAATAAAAATAAATAAATCTTTTTTTTAAAGGTGCCTAAAAATATTTGAACAGATATCTTCCTTCTCTAACAAATATCACTGAAAAGGTATTCAAAACACGCCAAAGGAATTCCCACGTTCTCCATACAGCAGCAGATGCTTAAAATACATGTCTATTGCTGATGTTAAATGTGCTCACGAAAACAGTTTAAAAAGATGGTATCTACCCAATATGTTTCTTCCACTTTCTGCCAAATACTCTCTTAGTTCTAACTCACTGCTTGGAGTTAGGCCTTGTTCTAAGTGCTGAAATACAGCACAGAAAGTGTGTAATGTGTCACAGCACGGATGTGAAAGCAAGATAAAAACCAAAGGGAGTGGGAAGGAAAACGGCCTCAGTGTTTGTAATAAGCTGGCAAGGCTGCAGAAAGCCAGGAGGAAGCATGCATGTGGTATGCTTATCAATGTCCAAGGTCCTAACTCAAGAAAAGATTAAATAAAATGGCAACAGCTTCACACTCAGAAGATATTCCTTTTCTGTTAAAATTTAATCCATGGCAAGCTGTCTCAGAAGGCACTTTTATGCCACGGGTACCAATAGAAATTTTCAGGAAGCTAACCATTTAACAATGTTTCATTGTTCCCTGCAAGGTACTGGACTAGGTATTTTATTACAGCATCTCCACAAACTTCCCTGCTGTATTATTCCCACTTCATACATGAAGAAATAGACCAAGGAATTTGTCCAATAGCATAAGCTAGTAGAGTACTGAATGGGGCTTTTTGTTTTGTTTTGTTTGAAACAGTTTGAGACAGAGAGAGACTGAAGCAGACATCCTACACCTTCCTTAAATGGCCACAATGACCAGAGCCGTGTTCGGGCAAAGCCAGGAGTTCCCTCCAAACCTCCCACGTGAGTGCAGGGGCCCAAGCACTTGGACCATCTCCCACTGCTTTCCCAGGCATGTTAGCAGGGAGCTGAACTCAAAGTGGAGCAGCTTGGGTCTAGGATGGGCGAGTCTATGGGATGCTGGCATGAGGCAGACATTTTACCTACTGTTTTACATCAGCCCTTGAATGAGGTTCTCAACTTGGACCTGTTTGATTGAATTACCCAACCTTAAATAATGTCATGGTTTTGAATCTCTTAAAAAGTCCTAGTTCTGTGAGCTTCTACACCTTGAGTTAGTACTTCGACATGTCTCCCTCTGACTTCTGAAGCACACCTTTCTGCTGTCACTCTTCAGTTATATAATCTCACAAGATTATCAAATGGCCAACAAGGTGCTGTTGTCCTCAGCAGGTTCTTTACATTTGCGTATCCAGCTCAGAGCCTTGCTCACTTCAGCACTCGCGTTCCTAACCTACACGAATTCTCAGTGCACAGCTGCCAGCGCTTCCAGAAAGCTCTCCAACTTCCCCGCTGCAGGTCGGTACAAGAGCTCAGTTTCAGCAAGATCCCAATCACTGCGACTGCCAACACTTAACCTCAATACTGTAGTCTCGGTGTCAGTGACACAAGCCAGTTCTCAGAGCGAGGTGCTCACCCCAGCGGCACAGCAACACCTGGGAACCTGCGAGAAACGCAACTCTGCAGGTCTCCGCTCAGACTTGCTCAATCAAATCCTCAGGCTGAGGCCTGGCAGTCTGCTGGCTCCCAGGTGTCTGAAAAGCACCAACCAAAGCTAACAGAAAGGGCTCAAAGTATCCAGCCTTGCATTATTTTTTAAGAAAATTAGAAACAAGATAAATTATTAACAGAGGAATAACTAGATAAGATAGGGGAAAAATTGAAAAGATATAAAATGTAGTTTGCAACAGCTTTTTAGGAACAGGGAAATGCTGTAATGTTATCTAAACAAAGGTACGTTTTAAAAGCTATTTACATTGCATGCTCTTCTCCAGGAGTAACACATGCCTACGGGGCGGGCATTTGGCAAAGTGATTTGACTCCCACTTCATTTCCAATTTCAGCTTCCTGTCGCTGTGCACCTTGGGAGTCGGCAGGTGACGGATGGAGGATTCGAGTCCCTGCCACCACACGGGAAACAAACTGCATTTCTGGCTCCTAACACAGCCTGAGCTACAGCAGGCATTTGGGAATGAGTCAACGGATGGAAAATCTGTGTACCTTTTAAACAAAATAAGTGTTAAATGAACAATAAAAATAGGCTTAGAAAAAATAAAAGCAAGCTTTCTTTCCATGAAAAATACTTTTAAAAAAAAAAAGCAGATATAATTCAAGTCAAATGGCCAGAGTAGAATATTCGGTTACCTGCCCCTGGCCACCCCACCCTGCTCTTCTTACCAATAGTTCCATTTTAGCTTCCCCCCTTGGCCTCTGCCTAGTGGTCCTTAGAGATTCTAGCCTACTTCTTTGCTGCTTTATTTATTATTAATCTTTTTTTTTTTTAACTGAAAAACATACAGAGGAGGAGAGACAGAGCGGAAGACCTTCCGTCCGATGATTAACTCCGCAAGCAGCCTCAACAGCCAGTGCTGAGCCGATCCAAGCCACGAGCCACTTCAGGGTCTCCCACATGGGCACAGGGTCCCAAGACTTTGGGCCATCCTCGACTGCCCTCTCAGGCCACAAGCAGGGAGCTGGATTGGGAAGTGGGGTCGCTGGGATTAGAACCAGCACCCACATGGGATCCTGGTGCAGGCAAGGCACGTGGGTAGCAAGGATCCAAGAACCAAAGCCATCAGCTGTTCCCACAAGCATCTAAACAGGAAGTCGGAACCGAGTGGAGGTGAATCCAAGGGTTCCCACATGGACCCTCAAGCAGGGTTCTAACTACTGCACCAAATGCCCATTGCCCTCCCAGTGCCATTTCCATCCCCTGCCCCCTTCCTCCTCCTTTTCCTACCAGACCTCCTTACTCATTTATTTAGCAAATATTAAGGTCCGCCTACTTTTCAGGCACTAGTGAAAAAGCAGCATTTCCCATACTGTCACACTGGGCACGAGATCAGCACCCAGAGGATTCTCTAAAGTGGGGACGGAAGATCTTCCTCTCTGTCTCTCCTCCTCTCTGTCTCTCCTCCTCTCTGTACATACGACTTTGCAATTAAAAAATTTTATTTATTTTTATTGGAAAGTCAGCTGTATAGAGAGATGGGCAGACAAAAATCTTCCATCCGTTGGTGTACTCCCCAAGTGGCAGCAACGGGAAGCGGAGCAGCAGGGACATGAACCAGTGCCCATACGGGATCCCAGGGCATGCAAGAAAAGGACTTTAGCCACCAGACTAACGCACCATGCCCAATAATAAATCTTAAAAAATAAAACAATTAAGAATGTTAAGGTCACAAAAGGCCATGAAAGAAAATTAAGAATTCTGACTGCATAAACAGCAAGAGGTAAAGTTGTAATTCTCATTATTACAGCAACGTGGAACAGGATATCAGCTTATCACTTACTGAGCAAATCAGGTAAAAATCACTAAAAGAATCTGGGGTTCTGGCGTGCAGACTGGTGGAGAGTAGTCTCATTCCATGAGAAACAAACAAAAGCTGAGGGCAGGGGCTGACAGGACAGCAGGACGCTGGATCCTAAAACGTCCTGTTCCATCTTGTTGGCAGGCACACTGACCTACAAAGCTCTTGTGCACCGTGTCATCGCCTGTCTGCAGCTGTGCTATGGAAAAGCTAGAATTCTGGCAAGGAGAGCAAACTTAAACACCAACTGGAAAAAGCAGCTAATACCCTGAGCCTTCTAAATGTTCTTTGGGGGGCTGTGGGGAGCTCACTTTATTTTTATTTGT